GCTCCTTTAGAAACAATCGGTCGGATAAAAAGCTTTTGCATAGGGCTATTTATATAAGGGTATTTATTTTCGGCGCGCCGGAATACAGCCGTTTCTGTCCATTAATTGTGTTCTTGGCTTTTGGTTTCTCTTTTGAAAATTCCCATTTTATTTGGGGGCAGGCAACAAACGCGCTTTAAAGGCCATAACGACGGGACTGATGCTGATGATAGGCAACATATTCACGGGCACCTTCGCCTTTATTAACTACATGTCCAATATATTTGAGCGTGTGCACACCCAGCTGGAGCCCAACACAAATACCATTATCATTGGCGCCGTGCAAATTGTGGGCACGCTGGCATCCATCTATCTGGTGGATCGTTATGGACGCAAGATACTGCTTGTGGTCTCCTGTGTGGGCAGCGCCCTCGGCACGACTGCATTTGGTGTTTATGCTTTCTATGCGGAGGAAACGAATATGGATCTAAGCGCATTTTCCGCCTGGCTGCCCGTTACAATTATGGCCATTATTATCTTTGTGGCAAATGTAGGCATCATCTCAGTTACAATGGTGGTCCTGGTCGAGACGCTGCCCCAGAAGATACGTTCGGTGGCCACGAGCGCCTGTCTGGGCTGCCTCAGCTTTTTTGCGTTCACATCGCTGAAGAGTTTCCCGCTGATGATGGAGTACCTGGGACTGGCTGCCACAATGTGGGGCTGTGCAGCGGTTAGCGCCTTGTGTGTCTTCTATGTGGTTGTCTTTGTGGAGGAGACTAAGGGCAGGTCCATGTATGATTAAACCAAGCATATTAACACTAACAATAGCTCAGTATTAAGTGCAACATTTTTCATTAAATCATCTGTACCCATATCATATCATAAAGTCTGACACTAATCCGAAGAAAGGTTCTAATAAAATATAGTTTTTAAAAAAATTTATGTCCACTTGTTTTTTTCTTTTTAGGATGTGTTATTGAAATAAAATATCAAAAGCACAATCAAAGCAATATTTCAGGGATTTAAGTACACACAAAGTGCCACAAATCGTTTAAAATTTAATCAAAAAATTGACTTACACTTGTGACGAAAAATACAGAAAATAATGCAAGATAAATAATTGTGGTTTGACAAATATTCCACAGATAAATTAAAGTTGGATGCTTGCTGAAAGTGTGATTCACGCTGGCAGCATATGAGATTAATCAACCGAATTTATTTTAGACAGATTTTAATAGTCTCTGTAAGCTGCTCTGACTACAAAAATAAATTGACCAAATTGATCATAATCATATAAAAATAAAATGAATCACGCTAGTGACGAAAGTGATCAAATTATTAATTCAATAATGATAATATTTTTTGCAGACTGTATTAATTAGACAGCTGCTGCTCACAATCAAGAGACTAACATTTTTACAACTACATAAAACACTGTACATTTATGGCCAAGCTTTAGCTGTTGCTGAGAAGGGCAGGTGGTGGCTGGGGGTGGACGGGTGGACGGGTGGCACACGGCGCACCGATGAGCGTTAAACCAAAACAAACGAACGGCAAGCAAGCCATAAAAACGTTGTGACATCGTTTAATTTATGACCTGGCTACTGCTGCTGCTTACTGCCAGGCTCAAATCCACCAACCCCCCACTCACCCTCCCCCCTCCGTAGCACCACCCTCGCTGCCGTTAATGTCGTGTCAACAATTAGCTTTGTTAGCATTATTATATATAAATACGCGCATTAATCCTGCCCGACTAAAGCGACGTTTAGCAAGTGGCAAGCGTTGTCAGGGCGCCAGAGGTGTGTGTGTGTGTGTGTGTGTGCGAATGTGTGTATGCTGTGGCGCCAAACAAGCAACAGTATACACACTCACACACACATGGAATACACACACATGCTGATGGGAAACACTTAGTATTTTGTTTAGAAATGCGCGTTGTAAATGGCGTCGTGAAAAGCTCAAATGTCAAATGTAAACAGTAAAATGGCGAACGAGAGGAAAAAGAAAAAAGAATGTGAAAATGCGATATGAAAGTGTGGTGAAATTGCATAATGCATATTCAATGGGCATATATTATTTCTATTGTTATCGCAATGACTTGAGGAATTATAAAAGCCAAAAACATATATTATTCTCTAGAGCTCTCACACAACTGCTTAATCATTGTGATTACGATTCCCGATAACCATACTACGTTTTACTGTTATGACATTCTATTCTATAGTATATATTTATATATACCATAGTATATGGGCACTACTAACAGATGGTACCAAATCTTTTGTGCCCATCTAAGTGCTCCTAATGCATTCTATCCAATGCCAAATGATATTTATTTCCAAATATTATTATTGTGCATGTGGCATTAAAAATGGAATCAAAGAAATAAAGAAAATATGTATTTAAGCATAAATGTCATTTTTTCAAGGCATTTTAAATCTGTCGACAAATAACAAGAAATGTTTAGAAATATACATTGAAATATAGTCTTGCAAAAGAATTATAGCCTTTACTTTGAATTATACCTATATATATATATATATCTAAATAATACTCATTCATTGTCTCCCTTATATTTTGCACAAAGTTGAGACAAAACTTATATTTTCCTTCTTTGAATTTTACAGCTCTTAAATGCGTTCAGCTTAATTAAATTGTTTTTCTCTTCGTCATTTTTGTTATTTACTTGAGCACAATATTTATTCTAACGCCGTTTTTTTCGAACTTGAAAGCTTTATCAAAAGATTCTTTAATTGGACAATTAAGTGAAGTTAATTAAGCTTCCTAGTCTTCCTTTTCTTTTCTGGTTTTGATCTGCGCCCTAATGCTATCATCTATATAGTTATTCAAAATAACCTTGTATGTACCTTATGGAAACATACAAATATTGCTTTTATTCTTTTATTGCTATCTTAATAAATGACGTTCGATTAAAGTCGAACCGCGACCTCAAGTAGCTTTAATGATAGCGATCGCTCAAAACATAATCAGCTTGTTAAATAATCATACGCCATGTGGCCCTCTGTCACCCTAAAGCCCCTCAGCCGTAAGCCGCTTCGTTTAAGCAAAATTGTCAAAAGGCATTGCGCCTTTTGTCTGCTAGATAACAGGCGACAACACACACACACACACACACACACACACAGACAGACACACGCACACCTGCACACAAGAGACAGAGCTCACAAATGCAAAAGCAGTTAAGTGCATTAGTTGTTGTTTTAATTGTTGTTGTCGCGTGTTTTAGTTTGCTTTACCAACAATTAAATCTAAGTGCAGGCTGACTTGAAGTTTTGACTTTGACTGCAATGTTGAACGAACTATTCGCTGATTGCCATGCGAAAAACAAAAGAAAACATAAAAAGCGTACTCTAGCTAAGGTTACAAACATTCAAGCTGCATTCTGATTGCTTCTCAGCTTACAACTAACTCATTTAATACAAAAGTTTGAAAATGTATAAAAATGTGTAAAAGAGCGTACTTTCCAATTTTCCTATTATTACCCATTGAAATTGGGTAAAAGGATATAATGTATTTGTGCAAATGTAAATGTATGTAACAGGCAGAAGGAACCATCTCCGACCCCATAAAGTATATATATTCTTGATCAGCATCAATACCCGAGTCGATCTAGCCATGTCCGTTGTGTATCTGTCGGAATGTATGAACACAAGAATATCAGAACCTATAAAATGTAGAGACTTGGAATTTTAGGTAATCCTAGTGCTTGCACAGATCGCGTTTGTTTCCGATAATCGATAACTAACTCCGTATCGAAGCAATCGATAAAAATCGATATCGATATTACTTCAAACGAGCGCGTAGCGCGAACCGCATTTGGTGTTGGAATAAGAGGGTTTAGGGTATTCCCTAGTCGGGAGCTCCCGACTAGAACCTCTTACTTGTTTTTAAATATTGTTAATTGAAAATCCCATTAGGTTTCTTTCTATAGAAGAAACACAGAATTTCATTGAGCATTTAATGATTTTTTGAGTAGCTCAAGATTTTTATAATTTACAATTCCTTGTTGGTATTTTATCTCAATTACATCGATTCTTCCCAAACCTTGTATACCAAAGGTTGTTGCCATGCCTACAATATACTCTTGGAGCTCTTTCTTCAAAGTGCGATGGACCCTCAAGAAACTGTCTGCTAATTTTATAAATTACATAATTTATCTTTAAATATCTATATCACTTTTGATCGAAGTTGTCGAATAGATAAATATTATTAAGGCACTATCTTATATAACTTTGGGTCTTTCTGCAATTGGCTACGCTTGCACTACATTATAATACCCAATTTAAGCCCATTTGGTCACAGGGTATCAGCTGGCACAGATTAATACTAATTTGTTAAAAGTCCTTTTTGTAAAATTCCGTCAACCTGAATAACATTCGCGCTGCCCTTGGGTAATGGAAAATGAGAAATGGCCAGGACACGGCAACGAGGCGTATGCGAAATTCGCGCCATGCTGCTTTCGTTTGAGTTGGCGCTCTTAATAGAATGCAGCTAATTAGTATTTTATTGTTTCTCTCTGTTTCTGTTGATTTAAGAATATATCATTTTCATTTTAAATTCAAACATATCAAATTGCACGCATTTTCGCGGGGCTCTTTTAATAATATTAAGTTGATTGTTTTTTTTTTGGGTCAAAAACTAAAAAAAACGGTAAACATTTTAATTGAAATGTGAAAGGAAATATATTGTGATTGAACCTCGAGAGACTTGTGGTATTATTATTTTTACAAACATTCATTTATGCAAAAGCCACCCGAAGTCGGTTAATTAATTCATGCAGTTTAACTCCTCAAAGGCCTCACAAGTGAGAGCGAGACTTTATATATTAATGTGTTTATTTTTCTGGCTAATTAATTATTATATTAAACAGCTGCGACAACATTTTAAAATATTGACGAATACAACTTATTTAAATATATTTGAGGTTAAAGTTTTAAATTATAAATTTGGTGGAAAATGTAAGATATTCTAACCATGCGATTTCCATTTGATAATTGCAGCAAGCGTCGTTTTCCCAATTTTAACTATGAGCAGAGCAAATTTCAAGGATGCTGCGGCTAAAATTCTTTAATTTTCTCATATCATACGCCGCGCTTCTATTGCTGCCCAGCCATGTGGCTCAAATGGTGGCGAGCAGAAATGAAAGCGCCGCCTTATTAATGCCTGCGATGCCAACCCTATTGACTACCATCGCAGACCAGGTAATACCTGGCGTTCAACTCAAAGGCACCACTATGCAAACTATTTTACTCAATGCTGTGCACAGTAGCAACAACAACACCATCAACAACGACAACAACAACTACAGCAACAGCTTTGACAACAACAGTAAAACAAGTAACAATAAAACAGAGCTAGGTTCCGCAGAGGAAGTGAACAGGAACAAATTAAATGTAAGTACTTTCAGAAGAAATATCAATTTTCCATCCTTGGAAAAATCGCCTTAAAGCCGATTACCTATGTACTGAAAATCTCTTTATTGTCAATTATTGGTAAGGTCTTTAAGGACGGCAATTTTATACCCACTAAGTATTAAGACTGAGAGTAATGAGAGAAATATGAGGAACACTATAATTTCCATTAATTGTTTATACACACTTTGCTATACAAATTCAGCTAGATAGAAAGGCACGCTGAAGAACAAATACTCTTTTAAGAAAATTGCTTATAAAATCGATTATATCAAAGCTTGTATTTCCCTGCATTAGTTCTTACAAAATCCAGACGATATGATCGATACGGGGTTTTCATACGGTTTACATATATGTTAGAAGAAATATAAAAAAACTTGCATTATTCGTAATCAGTGTATATGCTCAAAAACCTATTCTAAATTTACTCTGATCTCTGAGATCACAGAGAGGTATATAAACGTATCAGTTCACCGTCCTGATCAAGAATGTAAATCTGTTTCATACATAGGTTTAGTTAAGAAAATAATAAAATATTAAATTGAGAAATGTAATCATTTTAAAAGTCCACTTTGTGGCAGAAAATTTCGTCTCATCGGCTTTACAATTCTCGTAGGGGTTATTATGAGAAGCATCTCGGAGTAGCTATATATGAAGAATCGGTCGAAAAGTGAGTTTCTTGTAATGAAAGCTGGGTTTCAAAATATCTTGATCAAAGTCAGGAATTGTATATCAAATTGGTGTAACATATCAAACAACTCCCAGAAAAAGAATTGGTCGGAATGAAAGCTTTCGTATAAAATCATCAACATATACACATGTCTAAAAGAGAATTTAATTCTCGGCGTGCCGAAGGTAGATTTTTTCTCCTGTTAAATAAATGCTCAGCAATTATAATTGCGTCCCTCTGGATGGGTAAAAGTGCAACCTTAATTGAAAATGTATGGAATGATGATTGTGGTGCAAAAAAGCAACAGATAAGCTTCTAGGAAAACATTCCAATTAAAACAATAATGTGGGGAATGCACAGAGTATTGACAGTTATCCTGCAGCAATCGTTTTAAGCTCCATAACCAAATACATATATATATATTTTTTAACAATCATTTTCGCAAAGCAGCTAAGTCCATCTAAAGGCGAGATCACGGAGCTGACCGCAAATGTTACGTTGTTCATGCAGAAAATACCTCGCCTGCAGGTGCACTGGAAGGACAACCTGCCGAACGGTAAGTAGCAGTGCTTATAACCAGTATGATGGATAATAAGAGCTTTGAGAACCCAACAGGCACCACATACAATGTGCTGGTGAGCGCTGTGAATAGCACTCGCTGCCCGGATGCGCCCTGCAGCGAGTACACCATCAAACAGAAGCCCAGCAAGTACATCTATTTGCCGCAGAGTCCCAATCCGAATGTCGAGTCTGTCGACTGCAACTACATGTTTGGCTGTCAATACAATGTTACCGTGGAAACGTCAAATCTTCTCGTGCGTCGCTCTATGCGCGTTTTCATTCCACGTAGGTGGCGGTGGCCATCTCATCTTTGTTGAAATTTGCCGTTTTATGCTCTTCGTTTCGCTTGCAGATTGCGTGGCCGGCAAGTGCTCCTGTCAGCTATCGCCGGCGCCACCCAAAGTGCTGGCCGTGGCCAAGATGCAGGCTAACGATACCATTGGCATCAGCTTCACCATACTGGCCAGTGAACAGCTGCGCAAGGAGCAGGAGCATCATCTGCATGAGGCCCTCCAGTCATACAGAATGCAATTAAAGTGAGTTTCCTTTGAATAACCTATTGCCTATTTTCGCATGAATCGAGTGTCAAGAAAGCCTGCAACAATTCTGTAAGCAAGTGAAGCTATTTGGCCTTGCAGACATGCAACCTACATATGTCATATTTAGCTTGGCTGTAAGCCCGAAAATTTGCGGTGGTTCGCTTCACGGTTCCTGCCTTTAGATTTGGATCGATTCCTCAAAATTTGTACACATTTTTAATGAAATACATGGTTTGGTTAAGGATTTGGTTTAACTGTTTTTGGGGCAAAGTGCGGCTCATATAAAAAAACAAAATGGTAATTCGTTCGAAGCTATTTCCGGATACCAAATATTAAATTCCATTGGAAATTGAACAACAAAATGTTCAATGGTGCGGTTTCGAATTTGGTCGAACCATATCTTTTGACTTAATATATCGAAGCCTGATGTTAAAGATTTATCAAATCTTTAAAATTTCGATCTCAATACCAATTTTGTGACAATATTATTATACCTTCCGCCAGGGTATTTAAAGTTGTCCGCATATTGCTGCCGCTACCGTATGAAGGACAATCACAGACCTGAAAATCTGTTTTCATGGAAATTATGAAAATTATGTTTATATGGGCATGACAGAGAAATTGTCAAACTAATTTTAAAATCCAAAATCGCAATCGTTGGGTCCCAAAATGGGCAACGAGGAGAGTGGGAGAAGCTAAGTACTACCAACATTTAACATTTAAATGCTGAGAAAATCACGACTAAATTTGATAAAGTTAGCCAGTGTACGAAGGTCCTTCACAGTTGCATTATTTGTTGCTTTGCACAACGTGCCCAATTGCTTCTCGCTTCGTTAGTTGCGGCCAATTTCTAAGAAACTTTACACATTCGCTACAGAATCAACGAGGAGAGCAATCCCTCGCTGCCTTGGGGCGGTGTTCTGAAGAATCTATTCAATCGGATTTATAATCTCAGCGAATTGCACTTTCGGCCCACAGCCAAGGGGTTTGATGGCAACATGAAGATCAACTTGGGCACACAACTGAAGGAGAAGTCCTCCCTCAATCTGCAGGCGATGATAATAGACACCGCCGGCTGTGAGGGGCCGCGCAGCGTTACCAAAGTGCCAGGTAAGTCAAAGAGCTGAGTGAATGTTTGCGAAATACTCGGGAATGTCAAATCTCATAAAATGTTTTACCCAGTTCCCGCCAGTCCCCTGTTGCTGAACAACAATGTCAATTTGGTGGGTATACGCATATTTCTTTAGCTCCTCTATTATGGCTATATTGATATTTTATTCTACTGCAGAATAATTCGCTCATTGTCATGACCACATTACTCATTGCCGTCATATTAGCGGGCTTATTTACATTGCTGTTGCGTCGTCGTCGCCGGGCCCGGGCTAAGGAACAACAGCAGAAGAATCAAATTTACATGCAATCCTTTGCGGCAGCGCCCGTCGCGTGAGTTAAAATCCAATTTACTGGCTGCGGTAGTTGCAGCAATTGTTTGCCGCATTCAAAATTTGTTTTTCATTTTCCCAGAATGGAGGACAACATCAACTACGTGGACAAATATGTCGAGGTAAATAAAGTTTGCTTCTCACATAACAATATTTTTCATTTAATATGGACAAAAATGAAAGGCTTAACTCAATTTCCTATCATAAGTTTGCTGACAGAAATTTTAATGGGAATCAAGTGAAAAATGGGGAAATTCAAACAAGGTCAAGTAGCAAGTCGGCCAGTTTATAGTATAAAAACAATTGCAAATATTTATATATCAATTCTCATAAAGCTAATTAGCCAAATGAATTAAATGTAGTAATGTAATGTAAATGTAGCTTCTTACCTGCTGCGGGTAGATACGTACCCGTTCTCCAATATGAAGTTCATTATTTTTTTAATCGGACCGAAAAATGCATTTGATGGCAACACACAGAAGTTGTTCGCAAATCCGAAAATTATAATTTCTGGAAATAAAAAAAGGAAATAAGAAAATTATGAAGTTTCTGGTTCAAATATGAAAATTTAAATAGAACAAGAGTTTCTTTAAATTCCTGATTAAAAGAACTTTGAAAACACAAAATTTATAAAGAAAAAAATCAAGTCGTTTCCAATTCCATCTCTCATTTCCAAACATTCCAATAACTATATTAACTATGTTTAGAGCTATGTCATACTGAATTATGTGATATTTTTAATCTTATTTAAAGGTAAATTCATTCTAGGTGCAGAAATTCAATTATAAATATGTAACTTATTAGGAATCTTAAACTTAAACAACAGTCCGATAGTTTATAAAAATGTATGAATAAAAAAAACGCTTATATGAAGAATACAAATGGAAAATCGCTCAAGAATTCAATTGATAGATTGATAGATAAATTTAACTCAAATTATATTTAATTATTTTTCTCTCCTCTGAAAAACCACCAAAATTTCCTTACTTTCACAGCAGTCACAAGCTCTGGGTCTGGCGGACATATTTGAGGTGCCGCATTCGGCGATTCACATTGGACGAATGCTGGGCGAAGGCGCCTTTGGCCGTGTGCACGAGGCAACTGCCATCAATATGCGGCGCATGCGGGGCACAACGATTGTCGCGGTGAAGCAGCTGAAGGGTATGCCAATTAATTAAATGTAATTAATGCATGAATGAAATGTTGCATTGAATTTAGCCAATCCGTCGGCGGATGAAGTAGCCGAGTTTCTCTCGGAAATTGAAATGCTGAAGGGCGTCGGCACACATCACAATGTGGTCTGCTTTCTAGGTTGTTGCACCATTCGAGCACCCTATCTGATGATCATGGAATATGTGGGACGCGGCAATCTGGTAAGTATTATGCCCCAATGCGGTTAGCCAGGCAAACGAAACTATTTCTCGTCTCTGTTCAGTTGAGTTACTTGCGTATGGTGCGTCAGGAACTGGGGCAGCCAAAAGCACGGAATGCCAACCATCCGACTGGCAGACTGCTGACGGCCAACTCGAGAACTGCATCTTTACCACGACCGCAAAGTGTTAATTACATTGAATTGAAGGCCTCCAATCACAGCAATGAATTGGAGTCGTCCGCCTCCACGAACAACTCAAGCTCGCAGCATGCCACATCGAATGGTGTCGGCGCCAGATTGCAAAAGCCCTCGTTTGCAGAAAGTAAGTTGACACATGAAGCACGCAAGCTTTTAACTATTTATTTTTCCCTTTTCCCGAACTATGTTCTGTTTTGTTAAAGCTACTTATACCATTGTGGATGATGAGGAATCATTTGAGTATATACTCGACAACAAGGAGCTGCACAATTTTGCGCTGCAGATTGCAAATGGCATGCGCTTTCTAGAGGAGCAAGAGATTACACATCGGTAAGTTATATTAATACCATACCAAAATAGAAGTAAAAAGTACATCTAATAGTGCTCGACTAAGAGATACTCTGACCTAATATACATATATGTTGTCAAATAGGATATATGGGATTTTACTATATAACAACTATCCAGCTTCATTCTTCCCGAGATCGACGTGCTCACACAATCGGCTTAGCTCGAGTTGACTTAGCTCGTCATCCTCACCAATAACATATAACATTCATGAGCTCGGAGAACTGTTACATACTTTTGCCAATGGCAATCAACCTTGTTTGGGTTCATGGTGTTTTTGGTTTAATTTTTTAATTGAGAGGCGAATGTGTACAAGACAGTATTTTCATACAAAAATATCAGCAAAACCCAAAATTTAATTTATGAAATTTGCAAAATGAAATTGGTTTGTGTATTTTGTAATATTATTAAAAGTTGAGATATTAAAGTGTGTCGAAGCTGGAGTTTTTTTTTTCCTTCTGCAAACAATTATAATGTGCAAAATTAGTTTCTAAACGAAAACAAAGTATTTTTGTCTGTCAGAAATAAAAGATGCATTGCTGAACACAAATTCAGGAATGCAATGTATATGTTTATCACAAATTAAATGCAAACATTTATTAAAAAATATGTTTGCAATTTGAGTTTAGTTTCGATGCAGAGAAGACAAGAAGAAGCAGAGACGAACACGAGGCCGAAAGTTTTAGATACTTTATATGTTAAATAATTGCATCATATTCTATTGAAGATTATTAAATAATTGATTATTTTTGGCAGGCTTTATATTTATTACTAACCTTATGAAAATCGGTTTAGTTTTGATCGAATTTCGGGGGTGGGAAATTTTAAACTGTGTATGCCTATATAGGATAATTGAGGGTATACCCCGGCCTTGTCCGGACAAACAGTTTTATATATAGAGATTGCCGATAATCGCTTATGCATATTTTTTATTTTTTACTATCGACACGCGCTCAGCTCTATGGCTTTTTGAGCAAGTAGCTTTGTTTTAGCCCGTCCTCCTCAACCCCTTTGACAGCATGTTGTTTCGAATGTAGTCTACTAATAAATTTTGATTAAGCTAACAATGTTCTAAGCGCATTGTAAAATATTTTCAGCCGTTATACATAAATTGTGAATGCTTTATACCCTGTATTCACTAAAAATGGGGGTTTCTTGTATGTTGATTTATTACACCAATTAATTAATAAAGCTACTCGTGTGTGAGCGGAGACATCAAGCGATTCTATTAAGTGACCAAGATATTGCAAATCCAATAATAGACGCAATTTAATATACTCGTTAAGCTTTTTAAAGGAGTACAGGGTAAATGAAATGAAATGTTTATATTTATGAATGGAATTAGTTTCAAAGTATCATTAATAATGAATAGCCGAATTTTGCGTAATGCGTAATGAGATAGTAAAGACGCTTTGTTAAAGGACAAATTGATATGGTGTGAAACGTAGCATATTGTTTCAATGCTATTTGTTTAATTAGGTACTTGACAGCTATTTATTATAAATGCGTGTCACTTAACATCTGAAAAACTGGGCTAAACATAATAGTTATAATGGTTTACTGATATATTACATTAATATTTATGCAACTTTAATTGATTTCCCAAATTAAATATTTGTAAAGTGAATTTGACAATACCTTTGAAAATTCTAATCCTCAGCGACCTGGCAGCGCGCAATGTACTAATCGACAACAATAAGACATTGAAAATATCAGATTTCGGTCTGTCTAGACATGGCATCTACACAAATACCAAAACACGCAAGGTGCGTCCTTCAAATGAAACGAAGTCATAATTATAAGTTAATGTTTTATCATTTATTTAACATGCAGTTACCTTTGCGATGGCTTTCCATTGAAGCCATACGGGATAATGTCTACTCGAGTAAGAGCGACATTTGGGCATACGGTGTGGTGCTCTGGGAGATTGGCACACTGGGCGCATCGCCATATCCCACAATAAGCAACAGCGAGCTGATACCGTTTCTATTAGCGGGCAATCGCCTGGAGCGACCCGAGATTTGTACACCACAAGTGTACACAATAATGCTGCAGTGTTGGCTGGAGGAGCCCGAAGAGCGGCCCACATTTGATGCACTTTACAAGGTATTAAGCCCTAAGACCACCTATGTGGACATTAACAGTCTGAGTGATGATTACGTGTTTCCACCGATTAAAGAGTAAATGTTTAAATGCAATTAAATTAGTACAATTGTTATTTAAGTTAAATCTATATGTATTTTTAAAAACTAATTCCAACCTTTTGTCATGCTTTTATAAAGCATGTTGGAGGCAGCTTGATCAAAAGCCCACTAGAACCTAGTCGAAATCTTAATGTTATTCAATTTTGATGTATACGAATACAACTTTTGATGTGCTGTGAGCTAGAAAACACAATATTGTTAATTAACATTAATGTTTGCAAACCCTGTATAAGTAGCCCTTAATATGTTTGTAAATGACAGTCTATGTCATCATAGCATTCCACAATATGTTTCTATATAAATCTGTATATATATATATGACAACCTCGACATTATTTCACGTGATAAATCTAAGTGAATGTGAAGATAGCGAAATATAAGTACAAGCAGTGTGTCACTCTACCTGTCAATATATAGGCGAAAATATCGCAACAAGGATATCAATAAAGCGTCAGAAAAACTCAGCATTGTTGTTCTTATTTAACGCTTAATGCCATAAATTTCATTCCACGCCACGTAACGCTCCACATCTTCCGGTGAGACGCTTTTTGAGACATGCTGCAGTGCGCACATAAAGTCCGACATGGTTACGGCAGGCAGCTGTACAGAAATGAAAATTATCCAGAGTTTTCCCCTAGCTTAAAAAAAAAGTTTACATAATATACTGCCATATTTTACCTGCTGTGCGTCAATTGCGTCTATCTCTGAGCTACTTAGAGCTCGCAGCGGCTGCATGGCCGCATAACGGCACAGGCTATCCATGTCTGCGCCCGAGTACCCTTCAGTTAACTCAGCTAGCCCTTGAACCTGTGCTTCGTCAAGGTTATGATGCACTTGTTGTATAAGTTTCTCAATTATCTGTTGACGGGCTGGCGCCGCAGGTAGCGAAACGTAGATACGTCGCACAAACCGCCGTCTAACGGCTTCGTCAAGCTCCTGGGGGCGGTTAGTAGCACCGATGATAACAATGTGATCATCTTCGTTCGTTGCCGCGCCATCTAATTGTATAAAAAACTCGTTTTTCAATCGCCTTGAGCTTTCATGCTCATTATCCGAGCGCTGCGATAACAATGAATCCACCTCATCCATAAATATAATCTACAAGAAAGTAAAGCTTTTAATCTTGGCTATACCAATTAGGCTCTACCTACGGCTGGTTGATGTACGGCGGCAACAGCAAATAGCGTCTTGACCAGTTTCTCACCTTCGCCCACCCACTTGGAGGTTAGCGAGGACGGATTGATGCTAAAGAACGTTGCCCTTGACTGAGACGCAATGCACTTGGCTATTAGAGTTTTTCCAGTGCCAGGTGGGCCAAACAACAAAACACCGCGTGGCGGACGACGCACACCCTTGAACAGATCTGGACGCTGTAGGGGATGTATGATGGTTTCCATAAATGTTGATTTAGCATACTCCAGTCCGGCTATATCCTCCCAAGCTGTAAATGATAGAACAAAAGCCCTTAGAGACATAAACGATTCTCTCTGTAAATGCACTCACCTATTGGCTTGTATTTATGCATGCTGTCTCTCATAATATGTTCAACCATTAGGGGATCCAAATGTGCCAAAGAGGGTGGCACTGCCACGGCAGGCGTAGCCTGTTCATCCTGCTTCACAGGCACAGCAGCAACATTACTTGATTAAAGAGTAAATATTAGCTTGATATGATTTTAACTGCACTGTTTATACTGACGCATCATTTTGTCCAATGGGCTGCACAAATTTGGCATTTACACTTCGTCCCCGTCCACCCAGCGACTTTTTTCTGTAGTTCATGATATCACTGGGTGCTCCACCAGCACCACCTGCACCACTGCCTAATCCAGTTCCAGCTGCAACACTTTGTTTGTTCTTCTGAAATGAACAACGAAAAATAAGTAATATTTCAGACCTTGCAGACCCAACCTTTTCATAATGCTCATGGTGCTTTATCCGTATCAAAGAAGCACAGGGAAAATAGTTAATAGAAACAGACGGCAAGATGGACATGGAAATATCGACTCGATTCTTAACGCTATCTTTATAAATGCATTGGCTGTTTTGCGAAAATATTATGATACTTCATTCAGATGCATGGTCACCTTCATATCATGCAGCATTAATTGTTCACGTGCCGTACGAAATCCATCGAAAGCTGGAGACGCTGTTGCTGTGGACACTGGCGGGTTGAGTGGTGTCCTGTTGCTGTTGGCCATAGGACGTTGTAGTTCGTTTGTTGTGATTTCATCATGTATGCAGCTTTCATATCTGCCCCGACAGTGACGCTCGAACGCACTTTCAAGGGGTACGGACCATTCCACGGGCATTCCAGTAGCGGCACGTCGACGACGACTCTGGTCCAGCAGCCCTTGACATCCACTTAAACATTCTTGCATGTACGTCTCCGTGCATCTGTCATTTTCACGTTTATCCTGATGCTGTTTAAGCACATCAAAATGGTTGGCTTCATTTAGGTTGCTGTAAGATTCAAGAAATCTTTAATGCTGCTAAAAGTGCGCGTTTTCCATTTCCAATAACCATGTAGCGTGTGCCAGTAACAATTTTTGTGCGCGCCATGCATTTTGTTTGTCGCCAGCGCTTGCATCGCTGGCTAGCCATACTGCTTCGTTGGCTGCATAGGCTGCAGTCCATGGTTGCGCGGACATGATGTTTAAAATGAATTAATTTACGAAGTAACAAATTAAATATTTCCCGGCCTGATCTTATGCTGCAAGTGGCGGCTGGTCGATAACTGTTCGATTAACTGTGCAGCTCTGCTCACTGCTGCTCGCTGTCATAGCAGCCAGCTTTTGTTTGGTTGCTTAACTATTATCGATAACAAACGATCAAATTTAAGACATCATGTGTTTAAATTCAAAATTAAAGTTTAATTTAAGCTTAATGTTTAAAAATTGAAACGGAATATAGACAAATATGTTACTTAAGCTAGAGCGCATGTTTAAATATGTTATATGTAAATATGCATATGTTTTTGCCTACAATTGGCTTCAATTGAAATTAATTGATATTTAATTACCAAGTTTGCCTACTGCATACAATTGAGTTGCGTGCCTGTGTTCAATAGTTGCCTGAATACCCCTCACGGCGACACACACACACCGAATCACACGTATTTGGGTAGGCCAGGTAGGTTATCTGCTCTAGGTTAAATCAGATTTCTTCATCAGTGGCTAAACGTGTAGCCAGACACAGACGCATTTTATCGCGGCATCATTTGTGGACTCACGTTGTGCAAATATATATAGTTGTATACAAAACTGCCACATCTAACAAGCTGGACGCAGTTGCGGCCCCGGTGACTGGTTTCAGGTTGGGTTCAAAACATGTTGCGCACAGCGTCAGATCGCCGTGCAAGTCTCTTATCGCCCGCGGAATTAAGATAAAAAGCTGCTAGATATTAGATAAATCTGCCATAAAAGCCGCACTGCATGCATTAAAAGCCTCTCAGTTTACATGCACTTCAGCGCGGTTTTAACAGCATCTGCACGCAACACGGCTTAATTGGATTCCACGAAACACCGCAGGACGATTTCAAGATGTGCCTGCCCAAGCGCGTCAGCGGCGACGCCATACAAAGCTTGACTACAGCCATTGGTGGGTGAATTTCTCAAAAGATGCTGCTTGCCAACATATGCTAAGAAACTGAAACTCTTGCAGGTAATCTGATTTGCTTTAACTTCGGCCTCATGTTTGGCATTACCCCGGCACACATGACTCTCTACGAGTCGGAGGCACTAACGCCCCTCAACACAGTCACAGATCCGGCGGGCACCGCCTGGTTAACTGGCTATCTCTTTCTGAGCGCCGCACTGGGTGCTATATTTTCCGGCTGCCTGGCATTACGCATCGGTCCCAAGTCCGTGCTACTCTGCTGTGGACTACTTCAGATTGTAAGTCATCCGGAGCTTAACAAATTTCCGACGAATCGCATTTAATGTATCACAGTCACGACTAATTAGTGACATTTATACTCGAAGATATTATTCGTACAGCTAAAGGAAATGACTAATTGTTGGTATGAACATCTACTGAATGCGCAAGGAGTGCCAATTCATAAAAAAGATAGGGTTGAATTCGAACATAGCTTAAATTTTAGCGGACTATTCACATACTCTAAACATTTCATTAACTCCGAATTCGAAAGTTTCTTATTGATAGCCAAAAGTCAAGCTCACATTCACCAAGTTCCATATCCAAATCTCATATAAATAAATTTGTTCTCTGCTTTCAGTGCGGCTGGTTTTCCATACATTTTGGCTTCGACATAGTGCACATCTATGCCTCGCGCATGTTTGGGGGCGTGGCAGCTGGTGCAGCATTCGTAGTGCTACCCATTTTCATCAATGAAATTGCCGAGACGCGGGAGAAGGCCGCCCGTTTGACCTTTACCATTGAACTGTGGCGCACATTGGGCATACTATTGGGCTTTGTGGTGGGCTTTTATGTGTCCTACGATTATGTGAATATTGTGGGCTGCATTTTGTCCTGTGCCTTCTCGCTGGTGTTCCCCTTTGCGCAGGAGAGCCCGCATTACTATTTGCGCAAGGGCAATTTGGACAGTTTGGAGAAGTCGCTGCGCTGGTATCGCGGCATACGTGATCTTGATGACCGCGACCAGCCCGAGTATCTGCTCGAGCTGGCCGAGTTCAAGGCGGAAATAAAGGGTCAGGGCCAGGGCATTGGCTCTGCGCCCTTTTCCCACAGCTATGTGGTGCGTTTGATCTGTGTTAGCTTCCTGCTAACGATTTGCGGCAAGCTGAGCGGCGTCTTTGTGGAGCTCAATTATGCCGCCGATTTCCTGGGCCGTACCGGTTACTCGACGGAGCTGAACTATGTGCTGCTCGCTGCGGCGCAGTGCGTGGGCGCCCTCTTCGCACGCGTCATCGGTCCGCAGCTGCCGCGCAAGGTAAGCCAGCCACCATTTTCGTCTTTTCCCATTTTCCCACACTCCCCAGCCAATTTTCATATCGTTGGCCTGAGTGCTTAACACGATATTTGTTATTGCAGCTGTTGCTTTGCCTCTCCTCGCTGCTCGCCGCCGTTCCAGTCATCATCTTGGCCCTGTTCAAGCAATTTGGATCCACTTGGTCTCTGGGCATCTGGTGTGAGCGTTATCTGCCCATCGTTCTGCTCGCCGCTCAGCTGTTCTTTGTCAGCTTTGGTCTCTATCCCCTGGCTGCTGTCGTCAGCAGCGAAGTGCTGCCCACAAAGGTAAGGAACATATTGATAACAATTATATTGCCCAGCTTACAGTCTTAAAGTCACTGCCTTGGGCTTACAGTTTTTAAGCCGCCAACTAAATTTTTTAAGAAGATTCTCGCTTAAATATTTTCACAAGTGTTTACCCTGTGAACAGAGTAATGTGCTGTTTGATTTTTAAGCTCGTTAAAAATGTTCTGCAAAAATTCTCTGCGTTCCACAATGCCAACTAAAGGTTGAATTTCCCTTGAGGTCAATTATCATATCTGAAGTATTGGCGAAAATTGTACCTGACTGTAAACAATTATGTAGCATACTTTTCAGCGCAATGTAAAACACATGCATATCAACAATGGGTTTCGTTGTAAGCATCATTGTTAATATTTCTTGTAATTGGAATGCAATAATACAAACGAATAATTGCCAGAAGTTCAGGCGGCATGACTGATAGGCTTTGTCTGCAGAGTTATGCAATTCAGGGAGACTATTATTTACTTGATGGCATAAAAACGTTGCTTAACTAAATGAATATTAAATATTAAATTTATCATCCGAGGGGAATAAGGAATAAAAAGATGAAATATTTTTGCGATAAATTGAATTTTCAATAAATAAAATTGATTGTCTGTTGGCAGCTGCATGACCTGCTGTACTCGTTGGCCTCGAGCGTCTCCTGGCTGCTGCTCTTCGGCATGATTGAGGTGAGTAATGAAAAGAAGGCCAAAGCTACTAGAGTTAAGCAATTTAAGTTCAATTATATATGCATGCGTACTTTTTTGACAGGCTTTCAATGCAGTCAAGTCAACACTCGGCCCTGGTCTGGTGCTTTACCTGTGGGTCTTTGCAGCCGCTTCGATATTTGTGGGCCTTATTTCGCTGCCTCTGCTGCCGGAGACACGCAACCGTCGTCCGTCGGCCGTGCAACGCGAAATGGGCTATGTGGGGCAGGAGGGCGTTGCCAAGGTGGCCAGCGCAATTAATGGCCACATCTCGACTCACATCTGAATAATTAAAGCCAACTGCAATTAGTGTGTAAGCTTTCGGTACATAATATAAGTAAAGCACAAATTAATTTAAATGATCCAAAAGACCGTAGCATGGTATTTAATTTGCAGCATGTTAATTTAATCATGTTAAGTGCCATCCCAATTATTGGCCAATCTACATGACAATTGGCATAATTCGCTCTGATGAAATTCACATTCAATGCGGAACAGCAGGCCAACCATAAGCCTATGATCTTAGCTTATCTAATCTTGCCTCACATTTTTTATTACAATGAATATGCTAGGCAACTGTGCAGAACTCTTTGCGATGGCAGTTGCAAATAGCTTTAAATAAAATTACCTACGAATACAATTTCTTGGTTTTCCTCTAAGCAATCGATCTAACTATAGAACAGCTTAATTAAAATTGATCTACGCCCATTCAATTGCTTCAATTTGCCATCATTTAGATAGTTCGGGTACTTAAGTGATCGGGAAGCGTAAACAAATACTTGCATGCATCTTAAACATTCAGAAAGGTACGATGAAACGTTGTATTTATAAAAAAAAGGTACTTAATGAATTAAACAAGGTATATGAAATGGATTCTTTTCATTAGTATTATTATTGTTATGTTTTGTTATGATTATTATTATTTTTGTTGTTATTAGTATTTTATTATTGTTATTGCTATTATTATTATTTTTCTTATTGTTATTATTATTATTATTATTATTAATTATTATTATTATTATTATTATTATTGTTATTATTATCATTAGATTTTTTTATTGCCTCATATGCCCAGTATTATATATGACTATTATTATATTAATTTTAATATTATGATATGAATTTTAATCGTAAATTTATTATTAATATTTTAAAAATTACTATTATTATTATTATAATTATTATTACTCTTATAAATATCATCATCAACTCTTATGAGCTTAGGGAAATTTATAACAGCGTCCGCCCTGGCATTTTAAGCCCAGAGCCTTAATCCTAAGTTTATTTAACAGTTCAGTTACCCAAAATAAAAATATATATTTTATATTAAACAGTTCAGTTACCCAAAATAAAAATAAATAATGTTTATTGAGATTTATGAATGCTTTCAAGATAACCCAAATTTCCATTTCCTACTAACCAAAATTTGCTTAAAAGTATGAATTAAACAAAAATGTTTCCATTCGACACACTCTAGAGGGCGTGACTTTCTCCGAATTGGATCAAATCAGCCACAAGCAAAATTTCCTCCTGTCCCAGCACATGGCACATGGCAAACAGACAGGGTAAACAATATGAACATTTATTAGCCTTGCCCACTAATCCAAATTTACGCGCCCAATTTGTGAATATCATCAAAGATATGTGTAATTCATAGTCGTACTGACGTTTGCGCCTATCTCTAGCAAATAAACGTATTTGTATAATTTAGAATGGGTCTGTTTAATCTTTGGGCTACTGATATGAGAGCGCCATGAAAACGTGATTAATGCGCACCCAGTGCCCGACGCCCGGCACCAAGCCGCCATCCCCCCCGCCAAATGGTGACATTACAATGACGCGCCTCTATTGGATTTGCGATTTCGAGCACATATCACAACAGGAAAAAAATGGAAAACAATAATGGGCACTTGGGACGATTGAATGCCCTATTTGCCAGATTGTAGCCTTTCAAATGCCCTATTTTACTTTTTAAAACATTTAAATTAAATATCAGAAATATATTTTCGACTTTCTGAAGTATTCTTTCATACTTCTTATCTCCCTTAATATAATATATATAATATAGACATACAAATTGGCCCATATTGATTATACGTATGTCAAGGTCGGGTTAAAATGTTCCATTAATAACTGCACCTACGATTCCCATATGAGAAATTTCCGTATTAAATATCATGGTCTTCGCACCGAAACTAGCCAAGATCCTATGGAATGCATTTTGTAAGGGTAAAAAAATAAATAAATTAGACAATGCAACAATAATCACAGTTGTCGCCACTAAAACAAAACAATGAGCATCGACAGTTTCGACTGAGGCAATTAGAATATTTGCTGCACTTGTTATACCCTGAACCCATTAAAAATGGGTATAAGGGTATATTGTATTTGTGCAAAATCCAAATGTATGTAACAGGCAGAAGGAAGCATCTCCGACCCCATAAACTATATATATTCTTGATCAGCATCAATAGCCGAGTTGATCTAGCCATGTCCGTCTGACTGTCCGTCCGTCCGTCCGTCCGTCCGTATGTATGAGCCAAAGGATCTCAAAACCTATAAGAGCTAGAGACTTGAAATTTTAGATGTAGATGCTCCTAGTTCCCGCGCAGATCGAGTTTGTTTCCGATAATCGATAGCTTACTCCGTTTCCCAATCGATATCGACATCCTGTTTTTTTTTAGCAAATTGGGTAAATAATAAGAGCTAGAGCCACCAAACATGATATGTTGCTTCTAGAATATTATAAATATTTCACGTATCTTTCATTTCATACCTATCGCCACCTCCCCGCTACCACCCCAGAGCTATAAATTAAGTTAACAACCCAACTTTTATTGCCAACCAATTTAAACCACAATTTAAATGCAATTGATTTTTTCAGAATACACAAATATTCTATGGTACAATAAGATATACTGTAGAAAATTTCATAAAGATCGGTTAAGAAAAAACCAAAGTTATATGCAACTGCGCAATTGAATGGGGCAGCAGCTTTAAGAATTTCTGTATACATGTACACACACACATTCATGTGCGTCTGCTTCGCATTCTAATAGCATGGTAATTGCATATTTTTTTGTAATGTTATTTTAGTTTTTTTTATTAATTTAATTGGTGTTGGAATAAGAGGGTTCAGGGTATCCCCTAGTCGGGAGCTGCCGACTAGAGCCTCTTACTTGTTGCTGTTGTTGTTGTCGTAGATTTACTTAGCTCTCGATGCGGAGAGCATAATTACGGGAAGATAACAAGAATCCGAACAGTCTGTGCTCTCTCATACGTATCTGGGCTGGCTTTATAATCCCAACTCGGGTTTTGTGCGATTTAAATAGCATATATAAAAGTTATCATGCCGTAACTACGCCTGGTTAGTTCGCCACGAGCATTGGCCCCGGCACTCAGGCAGCAGACGTGGACCGAATACCTCCCCACCACCCACAGCTACAGAAAAGGATAATGACAGGCGCCTATTGAACCGGCAAATTCACACGTAAATTGAATCGCAAAGCTCGTGCACTCCCCCCACAGATAAAATGGATAAAGTTAAGAGCACAATGGAAACGAAAGGCGATGTAAAATTTCAATATCTGGCTGCAATATTCGGTTAGTAAGTGTGTCTGTAATTCGAATTAAACCAATTGATAAAACCAAACCGTGCATTAAATATATATATATATATATAATTATATATATATATATATATATATATATGTGTGTGTGTGTGTTGCCTGGATTTTCCGTGTCGTTAAAAGGCGCTCAATAGCGAATTTAACAAGCCAAAATATACAGCGTATACAGCGTATGCAAACTTTTTTTAAAACTCAAAAAAAAAATCTTTTATAAATATATAAAAGTGAAAATAACTTAAAAATTCGTGCCCGACAGTTAGTTTTTTTTTTTATCAATGTTTCAATTAATCCAATTGAATTACGTTGCAAAAAAAAAAAAAAGTTTTTTAAAATAAAGTTAAAATTATGCTTTGCTCAAAAATTGTGCAAATGTGTTTTTACAGCCGGAAAGCGACAATTCCCAGCTGAACAAAATGACTAAAAATGTTTTTGTGTATTAAGCTCGGGGTTTAAATAAATAGTTAATCTAAAAATTCCAGTTCGCAGTGCAATAAAATTGATAGACTCGCAAAGTCAACGGTATATCCATGCATATTAAATTGTTTGTCCTGACTGATTGAGTGATTGACTGACTGATTGGTGATTCGTTAAGCTGTTAAGACTAAAAGATGGGTAGCTGAAGGAAGCTTTTTGCTAAACGTACCGTTTGTGTGTTAAATAAGGGGAATCGAAAACTCCATTGGTAAGAGCGGAAAATTTGTTGAACTGACAAAAGCTTCTTCAGACTCGAAGAGAGTCGTCTGTTAATTAAGTAATTGAGAATGACTCAAGGTTAATGCCAATCAAAGCCAGCAAGCAACAATTTATACATCGCTTGAGGCTTAAACACGTTGCGAATTTTAACACATTTAGCAACAAGAAGGCAAATCGAGATAACCAAAGACTACATTGTTGGGCATTAATAAACTAAAACAAGAGAATTAAAACTTAAAAATATAAATTTAAAAAATAATAATCAATAACGCTTTCTCAACTCTTCTTCTTCACTCACCTTGCAGTAAACATCGTATCCATATCCTTTGGCGCCTATTGCGGCTGGCCTTCCTCTAGCTTTTTGGAACTGAGCAGCGATGCGAGTCCGCTGGAGACGGGACCCCTGAGCAAGCAGGATCAGGGCAATGTGGCATCGGTACTTTGCCTCGGCGGACTTGTGGGCAATGTGTTCTTCCTGTGGCTGGCCGATAAAATTGGCCGAAGGCAATCGATGCTCTGGGCGGCGCTGCCCTCGCTGGTAAGTTAGCGGCGCTTGGCCAAAATGTGATGTATCTTAGCAGAGAGTATTTCCTGCAGTTGGGCTGGATTGGCATACCCTTTGCACGCAACCCGACGCATCTGATAGCAGCGCGATTTCTGGGTGGCATGGCCGGCGGTGGCTGCTTTGGCGTGATACCCGTTTATACGGCGGAGCTGGCCGAGGATAGGTGAGCGGGTGACAGCTTCCCCAGCTACGGCTGCTTTAATTTCTACTACACATTCTGCTTCATTCAGCGTACGTGGCATATTGGGCACGCTGCTGGTGCTCTCCTGCAATGTGGGCGTGGTCACGGCCTTTGTACTGGGCTATTACTTCAACTATGCGACCGTAGCCTGGATTGTGTCCGTGTTGTCGTTAGTGTTTCTGGTTTGCTTCTGGTTCATGCCCGAGACGCCGCAGCATTTGGCGCAGAAGCACAAGCTGCAGGAGGCGGAGCATGCCTTGCGCTATTATCGCAACATACGTGCCCGCCCCTCCAAGGAGCTGAGCGAGCAGCTGCAGCTGGAGCTGCACAAGCTGCGTGCGCCCGAAAAGGCCGACGAGGCCGGCGACGATATCGATGACAGCGCTGTCACCTGGTCAGACTTTGGTATGCCAAATGCAGCCTGTAAAATTCATCTTCGCCCATCTAAATCCAGCTTCATTTGCCAACCACAGCGGATCGAAGGGCGCGCAAGGCGTGCTTCATTGGGCTGGGCCTGCTGGCGGCTAATCAGGGCTGTGGCTGCTTTGCCATGCTCAACTACACGGCGCTGATATTCGAGAAGTCCGGCTCGAGTCTGTCGCCCACCGTATCCGCGATAATCGTCGGCTTCATACAGCTGGTGGGCTCCTATGTGTCCACATTGTTGGTGGAGCGTGCGGGCCGCAAGCTGCTGCTACTCGTCTCCGCGGTGGGCATTTGCCTCAGCCAATTGGTCATGGCCAGCCACAGCTACCTTAAGGTGCTGGGCTATGACACAGCAGGCCTCGATTGGGTGCCCATTGCTGCCTTCTCGTTTATGCTGTTCATCGCCTCGTGGGGCCTCTTGACGCTGCCGTTCCTGGTCATATCCGAGATAATGCCGCCAAAGATACGCAGCACGGCCAGCATGCTGCTCATGTCCATACTCTGGCTGCTCTCCATGCTAACCATTAAGGTGAGTCCCAATCAACAATGGCCAATAGCTGTCGACACTAACACTCTATCCTCCTGTCTATTTGCCACACTCAGCTCATTCCACTGCTGACTGCTGCGTGGGGCATGCATGGCACTGTGCTGTTCTTCGCCGGCTGCTCCCTGGCCGGTGCGCTGTTTATTGCCATCTTTCTGCCCGAGACGAGGGGCAAGACTATTGAAACCATTTTGGCCAGCTTATAGTTAGTTAAGCTAAGCTTGGCAACAACTGTAAATTGTCTTCTTTTTGTTATTTTTTTTTAATTTAATTTTCGTTTTAATTACAATACTGCGGGTATTACCCACACTTTTTAGGACTTTCATTCACACCGCGAGCGTTTGAAACTGAACAAAATTTATGTTTATCGCTCACAACTTGAAATTTACCCCGTTCATATGGCTTAACCAATATACATACTTTGGCTCAAATACTTGGAAATGAGAATACCCAAAAAGATCCCCGATTTCAACCTTTCAACAGAATTTGCACACAGATCATTGAAAATGAATTTAAGGCTAATCGGATGGTAAGCAAAAAGTGTCAGGCAACCGCATTCCGCGCATTTTCCACACTTGTGGGTGGAATTTATAACAACGCGTCGCGTCTTTGTCATAAATCTAGTCAGCCGTAACACACTAGATTCCCCTTGAACTTGCCCTCACTTACACACATATACACGGCCCATGTGGGCGTCCTATAAAAGGCTTCTTTGATTAGATTAAAGAGTTCTCTCTACAGATAAGCGCATATTTACGACCTGAGCACAGCTTCAATCGTGCGGCGGAATGCAGGTGCATTAAAGACGAGCGATATTGTTTTTTTGTATTAACTTTTAAATATAAATGACAAATTTCACCCACTTTGACCCACATGAATTAAATTTTTGCTAAATAATTTAAATCAGGTCTTCGACGAACCATTTTTGACTGCGACTGTCTATGCTATTGTTGTATTACATGCATATATGCATACTTATCCACATGCATATATGCGTGCATGCATGCGTACATACATACATACATACACGCGTACATACGTACATGCGCATACATGCGTACATACAGACACACATTCATACATACATACATACACACATGCATTCATACATGCAGACATTTGTACATACATACAAGCATGAATGCATGCATACATACATACATACTTGCAACAAATTAAGGCTTGTGAATATAACACTTCGTATAAATATAACACATTCAATAAATACAACAATTGTAATGGAAGCTTGAAAGCCTGCAGCCCTTACTTGAATTTATGTGAATCGCATAGGGGGGCAATATTCATGTCTTTTTGTACTATGCTTGTTTATAAGCTGAAAAGAGTTTGTGGGATTTTGTCCATTCGAGCGATTTGTAGATCTATTCACAAAGTCAAAGAAATTAAGCTCTTAATGCAATTTCTATTGTCTGGCTAAGTAACTTGCCTTAGATTAATTAAAAGCCCAATTTTTTAAATGGGTTTTGCTTTGGCTATGTTGAAAAAGTCCCCTTCTGCTAGTACTGACATCCAAATGGTATATTAAAGTCTACTTATAGGAGCACACAGAATTGCACTGGCAAGTGCTTTCTACAAATGTGTAGTGCCACATAGTAGCTATACGCAGACAAATCTAAATAGGGGCCTATGACATTTTCTAGAACAATTAAGGCCCTGACCTTTCCCAATACCATTTGACCTTCAAAATTATTTCGCAAGCTAAGGGAAGACAATAGTTTGTTTGGCTTATGAAACTCCCAACAAGCTCAGCAAATATTTGGCTATAAAGTCTTATTGCTAGTCTTTCGTCTGGCGTGAGTGTTATTTATTTAGGTATTACCCATGTGGATCAGGGTTTTATTTGACACATTTGTAGAAAACATTTTCAACGACGGCCGAGACAAGCTATCAGCTTCTTTTAATAAGGCTCAATTCCTTCTTTTATAAAACGTTCACTTTATCCCCACGCTTTCGACATTCAAATTGGTTCCTTAAGGGCTCGTACAGTCTATATGGAAATTTGATTGTAGTGTGCAAGACTTCCTGCTTAGCATATAGCTGATGGAAGGGCATTATGCGGTATGGCAGGAAAATCTATTTCATCAAATATGTATCTGAAATGTATTCCGCATAGCAGTTAGTCTTCTAGTTTTATGATCTAGGGTGTCTAGGGGTTTTCTCCAGAAAGGAAGGAGCGCTCTGAGAAGCGAGGAGGGTTTGTGTAACCCTATCGCAACAGTCGGACAAGCCTTCTTTTTTAGTACGCCATTCCAACGTGTTTCAAATAAATCATCTCGTACATAAGCTCATATAAAATAATTCTAATCTTTGTTATACTTGACTTTCCTTATGAAATACTCGCTCGCACCAGGCATCTTTAATCTTTATATCACTATATATAATCCATTAAGTGTTGCCCGACTTTGGCAAACACTGATCTTAAGGCTTGCCATTTGTGACGTCTCGGAACGTTTGTAATATGAAAGCCGTAGACTGAGTCCACACAATAACAATTTTATAGTTTATTAGCCATCTACCTTCGTGGATGTCGTGGATGATACATATTCGGCGGATTCTTATTCGTAGTCGTGCCATGCAGCTATTGAGACGTTTTTAGAGAGGTCCACAGAATGTCGAACTTCTTGCAGAATTCACTGTTAAATCAAAAAACGCGCTACCAACTCTTGGCGACTGTCATAGGTATGTCATAAGCAGCGTGGAATATTTTTAATCTCCAGTTTTAATTTACTATTTAATCACTATTTACTATTTAATAGTAAACATTATAACATTTGGCCATGGCGTTGGCATCGGCTGGCTGTCGCCTACGCTTACCAAAATACAAACACCCGACACACCCCTCGACTTTCAAGTGGGCATCGATGAGATATCCTGGCTAGGTTCCATGCTGGGCCTGGGTAGTCTGTTTGGCAATTTGACGATAGCATTTCTGCTCGAACGGATGGGTAGAAAATTTTGCATCTATTTGCTGGCAGGACCTTATGCGGTACGGCAATACATTTGATTTATAGCTGAAAATTTTTTGCTCATTTAACTTTATCTTCAAGTGTTTATGGATTCTGATATATTGCGCTTCGAATGTGAGTTATTTGTATGTGGCTCGCTTTCTGTGTGGATTTACGGGAGGTGCAGGCTATTTGGTAGTCCCGATCTATATCAGCGAAGTCGCCGATAGCTCGTGAGTATTTGTCACTAAAAACGAAGTCCGTGTTTTCTATATCTATATCCATATTGCCTTCTATATCGTTTTATAACTCCATGACCTGTACTTGGATCCCTTGCAGCATTCGCGGTTCCTTGACTTCCATGGTAATGTTATCTGTCAACTTGGGCGTGCTGGTTGGCTATATACTAAGCACCTATCTGGCTTATCATGTTGTGCCCTTCTTGGCCATAATATTGCCCATCGCGTACTTTTTGGCTAATCTTTTGCTGCCCGAAACGGCGCCGTATCTCCTAAAACACAAGCAGCCGCACGCAGCTGAGACGTCTTTTAAATATTATCAAAATCAGCGAAGAGGCATGGGGCAGGCGTCCAAAGCAGACTTCGATGAAATGCGATTGGCCATAGACGCTCAGCAGGCACAGAATACGACAGCATTAACTTATAAGGATTTAAGTAAGCACTCACGCGACCCAAAACTTCTATTCCTATCTGACAATCCCTTACAGTTACCAGGCCAGCACTGAAGGCCTTTGCAGCTTCTGTTGTGCTCTCTCTGGGCTATCAGTTCAGCGGCATCTTCAGCTTCATCAATTACATGTCGACTATATTTGAGGCATCTGGCACTATACTGGATGTGAATACTTGCACCATTATCATTGGCGTGGTGCAGATTGTGGGCGTTTATACCTCGACCATACTTGTGGACATTATAGGACGTCGTATACTCATGCTGATCTCCACACTGGGCGTCGCTTTGGGCTGCATCGTCTTTGGCTGTTTCACCTACTATGCCCAGCAGTATGATCTGAGCGATGTTAACTGGCTTCCATTGGTCCTGATGATAATTATCATCTATTTGGGCAACGTTGGACTTATTGGAGTGTTTTTCGTAGTGCTCGTCGAACTCTTTCCAGCCAAGGTAGCAATAATTATAGTTAACTACAGTTAACTACCTATACAGCCTACAATTTATTCCATATTTCCGCATATTTCTTTCTTCAATTACGATATACATTTTTCGACAAGATCCCTAATTACAAGAAATGTTTTCGATCGCAGGCTCTTCAATTTCCATTTTAAAGATTTTCCATATTCATTCCCTTACCATACATCATAGGAAGGTTTGACTGTATTCCTTTATTCCTATTAATTCTCTCGTTTCTCTAGATACGTTCGCTGGCCACATCCATATCGGTGGTGTTTCTGAGTGTTCTGGTCTTCGGCACGCTGAAGTTGTTTCCGCTGCTGCTCCATTATTTTGGTATATCGGTGACCATGTGGTTTTCGGCAGCTTCCAGTTTTTTAACTTTTGTATACTTTTTGTGTTTCTTGCCGGAGACCAAAGGCAAGTCTATGATTAAGGACTGAGAAGTCGGCGTATATCTGTTGCAATAAATTTATTTAGACTTAACCTAAACACACAACTTTTACTGTAAGTAGTAAAGAGCTTTATATAGCTTTATCAGCTGTTGGGCCAACGTAACACATAGCTCTCCAGCCCAGACAAATCTTTATTTTAGGCAACTTCTAAGCTGTGCGTCAGTCATTCGAGGCATGAGGTTCGACTGGACACAACACCATGAAGTTTCCGTCGGGCGCATTGTTTGAGCACACGAATTGCCTGCTGAATCGCAGAAATCGTTACCAGTTTCTGGCAACGTTTCTAGGTGAGCTGGCCATACAATATTTAGACGTTTCTTTAAGGGATTCCCAATGGATTTCGTTTTGTCCAGTGAACATTTCGACCTTCGCACATGGCATCGGCGTAGGTTGGATGTCGCCGGTGATGCGGCAACTGCAAACTCCGGAGTCGCCACTCAGCTTCGAGGTGTTCGTGGAGGAGCTATCCTGGATTGGCTCATTGCTTGGCATTGGCAGTGTCATAGGCAATTTGCTGGCCGGTTTTCTTCAGGATCGCATTGGACGCAAGCCCATTATGTTTGCCCTAACTGTGCCGTATGTGGTGAGTAGGAGGTTTAGCTTGCCACGCGTTGGGCGCCACACTTATCCTTTGGGCTTGTAGTGCTTCTGGCTGTTGTCCTACTTCGCGCAGAGCGTGGAGTATCTGTACTTGGCTCGTCTATTGGCTGGCATAACGGGCGGCGGTGGCTATATTGTGTTTCCCATATTCATCAGCGAAATCTCGGATGCCAAGTAGGCACCTAATTAAAGAACTTCTCTTTTGATTAATTGAGCACTTGGTTATTCTACAGAGTACGCGGTCGTCTTAGCTCCTTTGTTATGCTTTCTGTCAACATGGGCGTGCTGGTGGGTTACATATTATCCACAAATGTTGGCTACTTTACGGCACCCTTCTGTATTATACCCCTGCCCATTTGCTATTTTATAAGCAATCTGTTCCTGCCCGAAACGCCATTCCATCTCATAAACAAGGGCAAATTTGGGGCAGCAGAAAAGTCATTCAGATTCTATAAGAACGTCAGAGATGATGACAAGCGTTCCATGTTGGAGTTCGAGGACATGAAGCTAATGCTGACCAAAGAGCGTGCCTTGAACGTAAATGCCTTTAATTACAAGGATTTCGGTACGTACTTGACATCCTGACTATCACTTTTCACTTGCCGCAACTTATCCTTTGCAACCTTCTCAGCTACCAGACCTGCCCTCAAGGCCTATGCCATCGCCATGGTTCTTATTCTGAGCAATCAATTCACCGGCACCTTCTGCTTCATCACCTACATGTCGGACACCTTCGCTCTCTCACACACCACCCTGGACATCAGCATGTGCACCATTGTCATCGGAGCCGTACAGATTGTGGGCACCTATACAACCACATTGATTTGTGATAGATTCGGACGTAAGATTCTACTATTGATCTCCACGCTGGGCGCTGGCATCTGCCTGGCCGCCTTTGGCTGTTTTACCTACTTAGCGAAGCTCTACGATCTGTCCGTGTTGGGCTGGTTGCCTTTGTTGCTGCTCTCTCTGGACGTGTTCCTCTGCAACATTGGTCTGGTGGGCGTCTTCTTTGTGGTCCTGGTGGAGGTGATGCCTGCCAAGGTAAGTCCTAAATTTTAAATGTTGCCCATATCTATAGTCTATATTCCTTATAGATCCGCTCGGTAGCTGTTTCCACATTTGTGGTTATCCTTAGCTGCACCGTCTTTGTGTCCCTCAAAATCTTTCCACTCTGCATGCAATATTGGGGCATCTCCATAACCATGTGGAGTTCAAGTCTTGTTGCATTTGTCAGCTTCGTGTATTTTATGTTATTTCTCGACGAGACTAAGGGCAAATCTCTGCTGGATTCTTAGAAGACTTGGTTATCAGCTTGGAAGTTTTATAATAAAACTAATTTTAAGAATTTAATTTTATAATATAAATTATACAATTTAATATTTAATAAAAGTTCTAGGATATTCGATTCAATTTTAATACATGGATTTATTGTCTCAGGAGAACATTATGTCTGACTATTCAAGAGGAGGCATTGCGGAAGATGGTGCTTATTTTAACATAATTTTATCTAAAGGCTTGTTTTAAAATCTCAACTATTTGCTGTGTACAGTGCTTCACTTGAGAATAGATTCATTTTCTGTGACTAGTTTAGCTCTTAGAATATACCCTCTACTTAATGAAAATATCTACCTGTCCGACTGTATGTCAGCGTCGATCTCGTAAACTAAAGATACTTAAAAAAAACTAAAGACTTCCATTTGTAAAAAATCCAAAATGTCGTTTTTGGGCACAACTTGAAGACTATAAGAGCACGGTTTGCAGTGAGCGTTAATATACTTAGCTTCTAAGATAGCAAGATAGGGGAAAGCTTATTAAGACAGTGTCACAAAGCTTGTATCACAATCGTACGATTGCACCGGAAAAGCTCTGCTTAGCAGGTGTACAGCAAGCAGTAGAACTTTTCAGTCGATCATTGAGTTGAGAGTATTGGCGTCGAACAGACGTGCGAAAGAGTACAGACGGGAATAATACGTGTATATCCCGAGAATATAGACCAATGATATAGGGTGGAATAAAAGTTCTAGTTGTGTTAAGCTAGACCAACGGTACTTAAGATAGTCAGTGCAATGCATACCCCAAACGCGGAATTAAGCGGGAAACAAAATAGCGGCAGCCCGGCCCTAAGCTCGACTGCCTGGCCATATAACCCGGAGACAGTAAACATCGTTCTGTCCCGGCGTTAGCAGGGTTTTACCTGAGGAAATAGTTATAAGGAGGTCAGTTGTTGGATTTTCCAATACCTACACTAGTCTGTTAGTCATCATGATCATTAGTTTTAAGCTTCTATTCATTAAAAGTAAAGATTATGAATTGGAAATGCGGCGATAAAAGTTAATTTTTTATTGCCTTTCCAGTAGTTTAGCTGGATTGTGAGCAAATGCTTTGAAAGGGTTACAGAACCTTTGCTACTGAGGCAACATTAATATTTCAACGAATTTCATGGGTGAGAGGTTAACGACTAGGGATCGTGACACCTTATCGGCCGTAACTTAGATATTTTGATTGCTTTAGATAATTATTACCGTCCACGCATGAAGCCGAGCAGTTTGTTAAGAAGAACCGCGACCAATCCGACGAGCTAGACCAGAGCATGATAAATTGTGCACTTAAACTTCCAGGGTAAGGCTTTCCAAAGCCTATGCTTGCTGCCTTTAGGTTCTCGTATAGCATGTGTATTTTGGGAAAATTTCATTTTATGGCTGTAGAACACTCTCTCATATTCATCCCTTATATGCTCTAACCTTCTTCCTATATCTTTCTTAACTAAAAGATAATTTTTACTGTAGAAATTCGCTGTCTATATGAGTAATAGATTTCTTTTTTTTTTGTAGCGCTTAGCTTCAATTCTCTCCCTCTGAACATCTGTGTCAACTAATGTGACACTGCACTTATCGGCTTTGAGTTAGTCGAGTTACTTTTTGGTAAGATATTAAATGGTCAGATAACATTCGCTACCAGCATTTCATCAGCTTGATTTACAGGCTTGCATGAGCACGGCTAATCTTTATGGCAACATGTGCCCCAACACAGCAGCCTCCAACCTATTAAAGTCAATGGGAAGCCAGGCGAATTGTTAGTATTCAAATGTGCGGCCACAACCTTACATTAAACCTGGGAATATATTGTATTTCGCTTAAAAACCAGCTACAAAATGTTGGTAAAATTTTTTGAACAACCGAATTGTCTGCTGAATCAAAGGAACCGCTATCAATTGCTGGCCACCATGCTCAGTGAGTGTATAAAGAGAAAGAGAGAGAATAGGGAGAGATCTATCTGGATAACTTTTGGACTTATAATTTCCAGTCAATCTAATATGCATATCGCATGGCGTTGGCATCGGCTGGCTATCGCCCATATTACGCAAATTACAATCCGACGAATCGCCGCTTAACTTTCAGCTGAGCATCTCGGAAATCTCCTGGGTGGGCTCTGCGGTGGGCCTAGGCGCTGTGGTGGGTAATGCACTGATGGGTCTGATACTGCCGCGCCTGGGCAGCCGCCTGTGTCTGCTCTTCGTAGCCATGCCACACTCGGTAAGTAAATGAGTATACTCCGTAAGGTATATACACCCATATAAGGAATCAAATTCTTCCTACAGTGCCTGTGGTTTCTGGTCTACTTTGCTGAAGGCGCAGAGTATTTGTTTATTGGACGCTTCTTGGCCGGCATCTCCAGCGGCAGCATGTACATTTCACATCCCATATTCCTAAGCGAAATTTCGGATGCCAAGTAAGTTTACGAAGATATAAAGTGGTGCATTATATGACAAGAGTTTACAGCGATAGCAGCGATAAACAATATTTTAAGGCCGTTTATGGGTCTGCCTACAGCTGGTGTTATGCTATTACACTGTGCAACATGTTTTGGATTATCTAGTACCAAATATCTGTCTAATGCTTGACGAAGAGAGCTTTAAGTTCAGTTTAAAAGTTATTCTCGTCTGTGTGCATTGCTATATTCTGCTTTGTTCACTTGCATGTTTCTTCACTTTGTAGTCTAGTGTAAGTCATCCAGTTCTCTTTCTCTCACACTCTCTCTTACAGAATTCGAGGGAGTCTCGGAGCCATGATAATGGTGTCTGTGAATGTTGGCATACTTCTAGGCTACATTTTGGGCACACATCTGGCCTATCATATAGTACCATTCGTAGTGCTCATCTTTCCCATTATCTACTTCATATCCACGCTTTTCTTGATACGTGATTCACCGATGCATCTCATACGCAAGGGAAAGTACAAGGAGGCTGAGCAATCTTTCAGATATTATAAGAACATTAAGGATAGCGATCAGCTGGGCGCACTTACAGAATTTGAGGAAATGAAGCAGACACTGACCCAAAGTGATAAGAACTCGGATAAGGTGACCCTCAAGGATTTCCGTAAGCTATCTTATCCGTTCCGATATACAGATCTTACGTTATTTATATATACATCTATAGTAACTCGACCTGCGCTCAAAGCTTATTGTTCTGCTTTGGTCCTTCTAATTGTGAATCAATTTAGTGGACTTTTCGCCATGGTTAACTATATGTCGGATATATTTGCACTGTCGGGCAGCTCCATGGATCCGGATACCTGTACCATTATCATTGGCATTGTCCAGATTTTGGGCACATATGCGACAACGCTTCTCTGTGATATCTGGGGACGTCGAATTCTCCTGGTGGTCTCCTCAGCCGGCGTAGCTTTCAGCCTGACCTGCTTCGGCCTCTTCACCTACTACGCACAGTGGTACGATTTGAGCGAGTGGAGCTGGGTCCCACTGTTCTTTATGTCGCTCTACATCTTTCTGGGCAACATTGGACTCGTTGGCTGCTTCTTTGTCCTACTGGTTGAGATGTTTCCGGTCAAGGTGCGTGTCGTTGGGGTCTTTCGATTATATCTATCTCTACCCATTAACTTTCTTTATACTGCAGATACGCGCGAGAGCTGCTTCAATAGCAATTATTATATGCAGCTCGTTTGTGTTTATAATGCTCAACATTTTTCCCCTTTGCATGAATCAATGGGGCGTACCGGCCACCATGTGGTCCTGTGCGGGCGTAACAGCGCTTGGCTTAATATTCTTTATCTTCTTCCTAAAGGAAACCAAGGGCAAGTCAATGCTTGAGGATTGAGGTTGACGCTAGCAAAAATAGCAAAATATGTTCCATCGTCCGAATAGTATTTTAAGTTTTTTTTTTTTTTCAAATAAATACAATACACAATAAATAAGAGCATTTTGCGAAGGGTTATTTATAGGAGACGCAGGATTGTCGTGAATAGTATGAACTGGGTTGTTGGACGCCATTTGATTAATTATTTAAAAATGGTGACTGGAAAATGTCAGCACTATCACCGGCAGTGACTGACCTGCCAGATTTGCTTTGCTTGTATTAGTGAGACTTGGCAAAATATCTCTCTGGTAAGCTCTGCTTACTAACTCACATGCTGAGCGCAGTTTGAGCTTAGCTAAAGCTTGCTCTCTGTTGCACTTTTGGAAAATAAACAAAAATGTTATTTAAATGTTTATATTCAGCACATGTGCATGCCAAAAAAAAACACGACCGATCTCCGTGGTAGTTCAAGGCGACTGGCTTGGGTTAGTTGAGCTACTTTTTGGTAAGATATTAAGTGGTCAGGTAACATTCGCAACAATGTCATCAGCCTGTTTTACAGGATTGCGTGAGCGGAACTAATCTTTATGACAACATTTTTCCGAGGACAGATGCCTCCAACCTATTAAAGCCAGACGACGTTTTAGTCTTCAAAAGTGCGGTCACAAACTTACATTACATTATTTATCTTGAAAACCTACCACAAAATGTTGACCAAATTCTTGGAGCAACCGAATTGTCTGCTGAATCAAAGGAATCGCTATCAATTGCTGGCCACCATGCTTAGTGAGTGTATAAAGAGAGAATGGAAAGGGAGGGATCCATTAAGTCAAGAGATAACTTTTGGACTTATAATTTCCAGTCAATCTAATATGCATATCGCATGGCATTGGTATCGGCTGGCTATCGCCCACATTACGCAAATTACAATCCAACGAATCGCCGCTTAACTTTCAGCTGAGCATTTCGGAAGTTTCCTGGGTGGGCTCTGCGGTGGGCCTGGGCGCTCTTGTGGGTAATGCACTGATGGGTCTGATAATGCCGCGCATAGGTAGTCGCTTGTGTCTGCTCTTCTTAGCCATACCACACTCGGTAAGTAAATGAGACATATTCACCCATATAAGGAATCAAATTCTTCCTACAGTGCCTGTGGTTTCTGGTCTACTTTGCTGAAGGCGCGGAGTATTTGTTTATTGGACGCTTCTTGGCCGGCATCTCGTGCGGCGGCATATACATTTCACATCCCATATTCCAAAGCGAAATTTCGGATGCCAAGTGAGTGTACGAAGACATTATATGTCAAGAGTTTACAGCGATAGCAGTTAAGCAAAAGCGCTACGGCCAACAGTAGCTTTGAGTTTAATAATTGAAATGGTCTATGTGCTTTGCTATATTCTGCTATGTTCGCTTGCATGTTTCTTCACTTTGTTGTCTAGTGTAAAGTTTTTTCTTCACACTCTCTCTCTTACAGAATCCGGGGGAGTCTCGGTTCCATGCTAATGTTGTCTGTGAATGTTGGCATACTTCTAGGCTACATTTTGGGCACACATCTGGCCTATCATATAGTACCATTCGTAGTGCTCATCTTTCCCATTATCTACTTCATATCCACGCTTTTCTTGATACGTGATTCACCGATGCATCTCATACGCAAGGGAAAGTACAAAGAGGCTGAGCAGTCTTTCAGATATTATAAGAACATTAAGGATAGCGATCAGCTGGGCGAAGAATTTGAGGAAATGAAGAAGATACTGGCCCAAAGTGATAAGAACTCGGACAAGGTGACCATCAAGGATTTCCGTAAGCTATCTTATCCGTTCCGATATACAGATCTTACGTTATTTATATATATATATATCTATAGTAACTCGACCTGCGCTCAAAGCTTATTGTTCTGCTTTGGTCCTTCTAATTGTGAATCAATTTAGTGGACTTTACGCCATGGTTAACTATATGTCGGATATATTTGCACTGTCGGGCAGCTCCATGGATCCGGATACCTGTACCATTATCATTGGCATTGTCCAGATTCTGGGCACATATGCGACAACGCTTCTCTGTGATATCTGGGGACGTCGAATTCTCCTGGTGGTCTCCTCAGCCGGCGTAGCTTTCAGCCTGACCTGCTTCGGCCTCTTCACCTACTACGCACAGTGGTACGATTTGAGCGAGTGGAGCTGGGTCCCACTGTTCTTCATGTCTCTCTACATCTTTCTGGGCAACATTGGACTCGTTGGCTGCTTCTTCGTCCTACTGGTTGAGATGTTTCCGGTCAAAGTGCGTGTCGTTGGAGTCTTTCTTCCCATTGATTTTCTCTACCCTCTGACTTTCTTTATCCCGCAGATACGCGCGAGAGCTGCTTCAATATCAATTGCAATATGCAGCTTATTTGTGTTTATAATGCTTATAATTTTTCCCCTTTGCATGGACCGATGGGGCGTGCCGGCCACCATGTGGTCCTGTGCGGGCATAACGGCACTCGGCTTCATATTCTTTATCTTTTTCCTAAAGGAAACCAAGGGCAAGTCAATGCTTGAGGATTGAGGATGATGCTAGCAAAAATCACAAAATATGAAGTAACGTTTTTGTTTTTTTCATATAAATTTCTAGAAATTTCATAATAAATTTTTTAAATAACGCTTCGAGTCTCTGCTCAGGTGCCCATGTTAAATGGTTGACAAGGGTAATTTGTAACAAAAATTAAATATTTTTTACATACCTTTAATAAAAAAATTCCTAACCATTATGAGTTTTTATCAGCTTAACGATGTTTTATAGTATCCCTGCTACCCTTTTCCCATGTTAGATTTGAATAATGACAGCTGCAGACATTTAGCCTATAAATAGAATAAAAATGAATCATTATGAATCATTATAAAAATATTCATATAGATATTTGCTTAAGCATACAAACTTAGGTCCCTGCTCGGGCGCCAATATTGAACACGCCCCCAACTTATATCCAGTTTCTTCTGTTTGTTCAGACATAAACTTATACCAAGAAGCACGAAGTGTACTTACACAAAGAAATACGATGTGGCAATTTATCCGGCACGGGGGTCTTCTTTGTAGTTCGCTTAAACGATTAGTGTAGTTATCTTTATGATGTCTCCGGCTCAGGTAAGATATCTAATAGCACTTTTCACAGCAGCGAAAGTTCAGTAGCAAATAAAAGAGCAGATGGAATAGACTGAAACATCTAGAAAGTGCCTAGAAAAAGTGAAAAATGTTGACGAATCTATTCGAGCGTTCGAATTGCTTGCTGAACCAAAGGAATCGCCATCAATTACTCGCTACAGTGCTTAGTGAGATATTGAAAATGATTTGTAATAAAATTGTGTATAGCTCTCATTCTTGAAACCTTTTCAGTAAATATTATATGCATATCACATGGCATTGGCGTTGGCTGGGTCTCGCCCACGTTGCGGAAGCTGCAAACCTTGGACTCGCCCCTTGGTGTGCCATTGGGCGTCAATGAAGTCTCCTGGGTGGGCTCGGCTCTGGGCTTGGGCTCAGTGACGGGCAACATATTGAGTGGACTTTTCATGCATCGCATTGGCGGTAAAATGTGTCTGCTGTTCATGGCCCTGCCACATACGGTATTTGACTTAATATTTGATTTGCATTAGTTACATAATCCCAAATTTTCTTGCAGTGTCTTTGGGTTCTGGTCTACTTTGCTCAGAGCGTGGAATTTCTCATCGTCGGTCGTTTTTTGGCTGGTATTACAGGCGGCGGCATATATTTAATACATCCATTGTTTCTAAGTGAAATTTCCGATCCAAAGTGAGTGGCAAGTTTGTGACACACAACTAAGTGAGAAATGTCGGAGCTATAAAGATAGCATTATTTGAATAATTTTTCTTGTGGTTCAAAGTCTGAATCATGTGGACGCTTTATGAATTCTAGAATTGCCGAGAACTATGATAAATGCATTTTACTATCTGTCATTTATAGCATTCGAGGAACTCTGGCATCGATGGTGATGCTGTCGGTGAATATTGGCATACTTCTAGGCTACATATTGGGCACACATCTGGCCTATCATATAGTACCATTCGTGGTGCTAATCGGTCCGCTTAGCTATTTCATATTGGTTTTATTATTCATTCGGGACTCGCCTATGCATCTCATACGTAAGGGCAAGCTGGAAGCAGCCAAGAAGTCCTTCATGTACTATAAGAATATAAAAATTAGCGATAGTTCAATCGAACAGACACGCGCTGCAAACGAATTTGACAACATGAGGTTGACGCTTACCAAGGATGATAATATGCCGGATACGCTCTGCTTGAAAGACTTTTGTAAGTGAAGCATTTGCGTTTCACTTGCATCAATTAATTTCCTCTTTCCACAGTCACGCGAGCTGCTCTTAAGGGCTATGGCATGGCGGCGGTAATAATAATTGCGAATCAGTTTAGCGCCCTCTTTGCCATGGTCAACTACATGTCGGACGTGTTCGCCCAGTCGGGCAGCAAAATGGATCCCAATACCAGCTCGATTATCATTGGTTCAGTGCAAATCCTTGGCGCCTATGTGAGCACAATTGTGTGCGATGTCCTTGGTCGTAAAATTCTGATGCTGATCTCATCAGCGGGCGTGGCCCTATGTCTGACAGTCTTTGGTTTCTTCACGTACTATGCAGGAATTTATGATATGACCGAGTGGAGCTGGGTGCCAGTTGCCATTATGTCGCTGGACATATTTCTGGGCAATATTGGTTTGATTAGCTGCCTGTTTGTGCTGATGGTCGAAATGTTTCCACTCAAGGTTGGTTTTCTTATTGTATTCGATTTCAACTTAAATTTAAATTATACATTATTTTCTTTTCAGATACGCGCCAGAGCAACATCCATAGCAATTGTTATATGCAGCTCTTTGGTATTTCTGATGCTCAACATTTTTCCGCTTTGCATGGCACATTGGGGTCTGCCGGCCACGTTGTGGTCGTGTGCCGGCATTACCGCAGGTTGCTTTATATTTTTCTTACTATTTTTAAAAGAGACCAAAGGCAAATCAATGCTTGAGGATTGAACTTAAATAAAAGCGCCTATATTTAAAAGCGATAAATTTGTGCTGTAACAATGAGAGAAAGATAGATACGCGACAAAAGCTGGTTGCTCTGCACCTCAGCTTGCTTATTTAAATAAAACAAAAATAACGCGCCAAATACTTCGTTCAGTTTCAAAAGCATTGATAAATTGTTTTACGTGAGCTTTTGCTATCGATCGTAGGCGCGAGCTGTGCCTATCGCAAGCTTATCGATAAGTTACATAATTCAAATTGAAATGCGTACGTTATTTTTCGGCATATTTTTCATGTATGTTACATTAAATAAATTTAATTACATATAATTAGTTATTGTAAACATAATAATAATGTTTATACAATTTGTTGATGTGTGTGCTTTACATGGTTTTAGGCAGCCAACTTAAAACTAATTAAAAAACTAGCATACTAAATCACAGTGTTTTTTCCCAAGTGAAAAAATTTGCAAAAATCTACAAAAATTTCTAGCATATTAAATATACATATATATATATATGTAGTACAATATGTGCGATATGCGATAATAATAATAATATATAGAATTATAATATGGGCTGTTGAATTTGCATTACTTTTGGATTTAAAACGTACATTAAAACATATTTTTCGCATATGCAAAACAAACATTTTCTTTAGCAGCAACATAAGAATGATAATAATATGATAATAATAATAATAATAATAATAATAATAAGATTTAGGATAAATGGCTAACAATTAAAATGCATAAAACAAAAACAAAAATTGCTGTTTACAATATGCAACAAACAACAAATTTTGGGTATAGCGCCTGCCGTTTGCCATATACATAAAAGTATATATAGATAAATTGTTTATAAATAAACTAAATATAGTAGATACTATAATATAATATAATAAATGTGGCTTTTTGAATATTGAATCACAAAATTGGGCGCACGTTTCGATATTTGTTCAACATGTAGGGATATTAATTAGTTTGGTGGATTTAATATAGGATTAACACATGCTACACTAATTACGTATCACTGGTTCGTTGTCAGGTTTATCACGTCTTTTTGGGGCAGCGCAGATAGCGCAACACCGCATAGCCCAGGCCGCGAAATACCAGAAAGAACATCATCAGTATGAGCGTATTCAGCCAGAGTGGCGATGTGGAGTTTTGTGCTTTGAGTATTTCCTCATATGGAATGAATTCGGTTGTCTGTTGTTTGCATATCTCATAGCTGCTCGACGATCCACAGCTGTGTCGGGCAAAGAAACGATATGGTAATGGGGATTACGATTCAATTCAACAATTGGCAGGCTTACCTAATAGCTGGTCCCTCGCGAAACTCGAGTATTTGCATATTCTGGTATGCATAGTGTATCATCGATGTGTAGCGTATCCAGCTGAGACCTTCCGGAATGCGTGACGATAAATAACCGCCAAAGAGCTGTGTGGCAAGCGTATAGAGTGCACTGAGCGTAATGCTCACATTCATGTCCATGCAACAGGCGCCAATGAAGAAGCCAACGCTTTGCGCCACAATCGTATTCAGCAGCAAAAAGATGAGCATCAGGAAGAAGAGCTTCACGCTACGAGTGGCAACAGTATTAAGTCAAATGAGGCATAAACAACTGGGTGGTGTTTTGGCTCCTTACCTGCTACAGCCCAGCATGGGATAGCTGATCATGAGGTAGACAGTGGGCAACGTTATCACCAGCGGCAGCTCTGCGCACATTTTGGCCAGGTAGTAGGCAGAGAGGCGATAGGCACCAGAACGGCGCTCCTTGCTGATGACCTCGCGTTCCGAAGGAACTGAAACAATGAAAATTTCATTACATTTTAGGCTTAGTTATCTTGCAAGGCACTTAAATCATACAGTATAAAACTTAAGTAACATTTGGCTTCTCAGCTCTCACTTACATGAATTGAGTGCACCGAAGAGCGCAAAGAGCATCCAATAGGTTTGCGAGAAGAACATCCAGCCCTGCAGATCATGGAGGAACTCCTCGGTGCGCGGCAGCTGAAACCAAATGGCGCCCGCCATCAGCGCCAGGCCAATTGTTTGGAACCAGTTCAATTTGGACAGCATGCGTGGCTTGGCTTCCTTAAAGTTGCGACTGGACAGCACAGTGAACTGTGTATGGAAGCGTGTCGGATAGGAGAGCCAATCCTCTTCGTTGGCAGAACTCTTGCCGGCACGATACGACTGGCAATCACTGGAGGCACAGGAACTGAAATTTGATTGCGAATCGGCGCCGCACCAGACCAAATGTTGAGCAGCCTCTTCATCGGCCTCGCAGCCATTCGCCGTGTGATGTAAATTAGCATATTGATGATGATGATGATGCTGTTGGTGATGATGATGTTGGTGATGTCGTTGGTTGTAGTAGTTGTTGATGATGTCGTTGATCAGTATGGTGTCGTGCTGTTGCTTGGCCTTGTCCTGGCTGCTAATGCAATTGCGATTCAAATAGTTGCCATGAGATTCCCTGGCGGCTATAAACAGCTTCTCGCGAATATCCGGATGCGATTTCAACTGCTCCACTGCAAAGCAAAGGGTCTTAACAATGTGTTCAGCTGCGATTTGATTACAATTTACAACTTACACACAAAGTCGGCGGGATTGTAGTGCGGCTTGATGGTCACCCCAATATCCTCAAAGTGCCTGTAGATGTTGTTCACCTCGCCAAAGTAGGCGGTGCGTCCCTGATGCAGCAGCAGCAGCTTATCAAACATGTGAAACATCTGCGACGACGGCTGATGCACGCTTATCACAATTGTCTTCTGCTCCAGCTGTGCGTAGCGCTTCAGCACCTTCATCAGCGATATGGCCGAGTGGCTATCCAGCCCAGAGGTGGGTTCCTGGAAAATGCAAATATATAAAATAATGGAAAAAATTAAAAAAAGAAATTAACTTTGTAAAAACATAAATCAAACAATACAAAATATGTCAAAAATAAAAAAGAAAACTTTAACCATTTAATTTACAATAAAATGGAGGCTCTTTTCGCATTGGTTGCAATTGATACCAGCTTTGACAAAGTTCTGGCTGATTTCTGAGACCTTTTTAGAGACCTTTATCTCTAGAGAAGACGAATATAGAGAGAGCTATTATTAATCTGATCTTAGACCAGTTCAATTCTAAACTCAGCTTAAGTGTATCTCTCTCTTTCTCTCTCTATATCTCCGATTTTTATAGATTTTAAGCTTTAGAGAAGACTAATAGAGAGATAGAATTAAGCTGAGTTATAATTATGACATCTCTTATATTTCAGATATTTTCAGAGTTTTAACTGCAGATAATAAGAACAGAGGCAGCATTAATTAAGCTGAGTTCGGAGGATCTAATCTAAGCTCAGCTTAATTAAAATATATCTTTCTCTGTCTATTTTCTATGTACTCACATCAAGCAGCATGAGCAGCGGATTGGTCAACAGTTCGCAGGCGATATTGGCGCGTTTCTTCTCGCCGCCGGAGAGCCCACGATTCAGATAATCGCCAAACTTGGTCTGCTGACAGCAGCTCAGCTCCAGGGTGTCCAGTATGTGGTCGACGAGACGCAGCTTCTCGGCGCGCGGCATCGACTCGGGCAGCCGCAGCAGCGCCGTATACATGACGGTCTCGCGCAACGTGAGCTGCGTGAAGAAGATCTCCTCCTGCAGCACATAGCCAATTTTGCGGCGCCAGCGTTTCGAGAGCGGTTCGCGATTCAGATAGACGCTGCCGCTGTCAAAGTGCCGCTGCCCGCTGAGGCAGTCCAGAAGCGTTGTTTTGCCGCTGCCCGAGGGTCCCATGATGGCCAGGACCTCGCCGGGACTGCGCAGAAAGAGAGCGCGAGAGAAGGGAGAGAGGGGAGAGAACAAGACATAGTGAGAGAGAAAGGAATATATTTGTTATTTGTCACGTGAGAATGGGTTTTATTGTTGTTTGTTTGTTGATTGTTTGTTGTTGTTTGTTTGTTTGTTTGTTGTTGTTTGTTGTTACCTGACTAATCCACTCACATCGGAAAGTATTTTGCGTTCGTTTTGCAACACGTTTAAGTTCTGAAATGTCAACTGTATTGTTGGTTGTTGCTGCTGTTGTTGTTGTTGTTGTACTTGTTGTTGCTGTGCAATTGGCTGTTGTTGTTGCTTTGCAGCGTTTATAAAGGGAAATGTCAACGAAGTTGTCTGAGCCGCACTGCAAAACCAAAAGAAATAAAACATAAATTAATATAATTGTGTTAAAGATTATGATAAAGATATATCAAATAAATAATTAAAGATCAATAAATAAAAATGTTAAAGCAAAAAAATAATAAACAATAAAATAAATCTTTTATTTATTTATTTATAATTATTTTTTTAAAAGCAAATAATTAATATATAAATAAATTTATTAATATATTATTACTTTAATTATTCATTTAAAAAAAAATTTTTTTTTTTTTTGTTATTTACCAAGCCAATAAAAATTAAAGTACTTTTAACATAAATCAAATAACTGGCCAAATTTATTTATTTATTTATAAATGTTTTGAATAAGTCAATCAAAATGTATTTCCCCAATTTAAAGACTGTTAAAACCGCAGTTATCAAAGAATTGATGAGAGTTTAACAAACTCTGAAAATAAATTATGCAAAAATAAACCGTACACAAAATATATATATATATATATATATGCCTATCAAATACCCTGTAATAAGCCATTGAATATTGCGGGGCCTAAAAGTATGCAGTAAAATAATAACAAATAAATTAACTAAACTATATTGAATTTTTCCTGCAATTCCAATACTTTATTTAAATCGGGTGGAAGCTGCCATAACCGGACACCCAAAGCTGCGGTTCTTTTATCCGGTTATGGGCAGGTGTCCGGTAATGGAGCTGTTCTTTATAGAAGTATCGTTTGTTATATATGTATATAATTGAATTAGTTGGCAATAATTTTTATTTATTGCCAACAAATATTTTATCTCAATAAATTTTTGCTATCTTTGTATAGAATTTGAAATTGATTCTTTTTACAATTTTACTTTTATAACTAAATAATATTTAATGTACTGTAAAATACATCAAAGAAAATTGAAATATTTGTTTCAATATTATTTAAAATAAAACAAATTAATTTAAAATTGAATTGAAATCTAAAATGCAACTTACAATACATGGGTATTATGTGTGTGACTATATATAGCATGCCCGTATTAAAGTACTTAATGCTGTCTTTTATCAAAATAATGTTTAATACTTTATTATACCCCATTCATGCAATTGACGGCTGTAGGGTATAAAGAAACAAAAGTCAATGCACCCCTCCCCAAGCAAAAGTAAAATCAGTGTAAGGCACACATTCATTTGGTCGGTGTACGTATGTGTGCGTGTCTGTGAGTGTGTGTGTGCGTGCGTGCATATGTTTGTTTCTTAATGCGAGAGCAACACAATACAACGGTCGATTCTCCACTGTCAACTCTTATCGCCGATATCACATGTGTGTGACGGACGACGCGTCGCGTCGCGTCGCATTATCACACGCGTTCGCCCGCTTGCTCTCTCTTTCTCTCTCTCGCTCGCTCTCTGAGGCGCACGCACTCTCTGTGTTGTGCTGTTCTCTCTGTTTTCCTTTTGCCCAACTCTCGGTCAATGCTTCTGTTTCGTGCTCCTCCTACAACATGCACAAATACATATGCAAGCCGAACCGAGTCAATAGCCTCTGTTCTGGCCCCTTTCTCCCGCTCTTGCTGATTCTTTCTCTCCCGTTGTTGTTCTTATTGTTGTTGCTGTGTACCTATCAAATTTATTTAAATATTTTCTTTTTACTGTAAGCCTCCGCGCGTATGACCTGCCCATCCCGCCTATAAAAGCTGCCTTTATATACTGCGCAACTCGCACGGAAGATTCTTTATAAAAATTGCTAAGTTTCAGTTGTTTTTTGAATGGAAGAGATTTTGGTTTGGATCAAATACATACATAAGTACACATGTTAACAGTTAGGTATAAGACTCTCTCTCTCTCTCTCATTAGTATTCATATTATCATCTTCCTGGTTAACTTAAAGAAATGTTATCAGCCCAGTTAGCATTACATTATGCAGGTATGCCATAACCCACTCCTGACAGATCTCTTGATACAGCTAAAATGATCATCGATCTGAGGTGAAAGGGGTCAAGGTCTCATACAGAAGCACATCAATTAGACGGCCATGTAAATTAACACAGCAGAAGCTGAGCCCAAGCCTCTGTCTTGATCTTCCACAATAAAACAAAAAGAAAGATTTGGAATCAACTAGAAAAACTATCAAATATACAATTATGGACTAGAAAATTATTAAAAATAATATAAACCAACGCACTGCAGCATCCCCAGAAAGAAAAACAAAACAAAAACAACAAAATATTTCAAATTATAGAAAAAAATAATATATGTTAATTTTATGAAATGGGAAGCCAAAGTAAATAGAGAGTGCAATGAACCGCAATGTGCGTGCATATGAGACAGCAACAATAACAACAGCAGCAGCAATAACAACAACAACAACAGCAACAACAACAACAACAACAACAACAACAAACAACGACGTCAGGCACAGGCCCCAAGTGGGGGTCAATGCAGTCAGCAAGAGACAACGTCAAACAAAGCATACGCACACACACACACACACACGCACACACATCGTCCACAGATACATGTTGCATGCGCATGCAAAGTATCTGATGAATACGCAGCTCATACATTTCGCCTGCCCGTCCGCCCGCCTGTCCGCCTGACACTCTGCCTAGAAGACAGCCACATTAAAAGAGACTAAATAACAACAACAATTGCAATGTCCGGGTCTGATATGCCTGGCAAAATGTCTGGAACAATCAAAAATACGACACGCTAGGCAACAGTTAGTTCAAATAGATATCAAATATGTCCAAGACATAACAAAATAAGTCCATGTCAGGTCAAGTCAAATACATTTTGTTCAGGCCGCACTCATAAATATTAGGTCAAATCTTTTTTAAACAGGCAAAGCATAATTTTTGGATTTTTGTTTTAGAAATTTACAAGACGTGCCCCTAGACTGGGATATTTGTAGTTAGCTGGAACAAGTGGAATTGGTACACTTTCGTCTATAGGGAAGCCAATCATTTAATAATAAATAGTATTTAATATTTTCATAAAACGAAAAAGAAGGTTGTAAGCCTAATAATGCAGGAAAAATAGTTAATGCCGATATCCTGAAGATATCTTGAATATCAAAAGGTATTTCATACAACAACTTAATTTTCGACCGAGCGCTGGAACGTCTGGAAATGAAACATTCTCGTTATTTATTTATCATTTTCTGTTAGCGCAGCCCTAAACTTATATTTAAAAACATGTTTTTCAACATTTTTATTATAGATATATTTAAAAATTTGAATGTCCCCCTTTCGAATGCGAATTTCAGGGAATTTACCAATTTTTGTAGATAAGTTAGGATTAGTTCGAAATTCATTTCATCCATAACTTTTATACTTTCTAGTTTTTAAGCAATTTTTTTTTCTTTTGCACTAAAATAAATATCTAAAAGCTTTTTTTGCATAATTTTAAAAGGAAATAACACAATATTTTGTATAATTGAGCTCAATTAGATGCCTGTCACTTGATAGTTTTTGCCTTTTGCGCTTGAGCAGCAACAATTGGAATATCAACTATTTACGTTGGATTCAGTTACTTGTAGTTGTTCATTCAGTCATTTTTTGTATATATTTTTTTAATTTAGTTTTTTGTGTTTTTTAATTTGATGCTTAGATTGGAAACTGGCAACACTTTCGCTGGACCGTTGATTAGTGACGTCTATCAAATAGAAATTTGTTGTTTAAAGTTTATGTGTATATTTGCTTAGCTACTTTCGAATGGGGCATGGGCACAGATTAGCATAAAGCATATCAATCAAATGCCGCCCACAACCACAAAATCATTTTATTCATTAAACATGTACTCAATTTTCTAATGTTGCAAATTTTCTATTCAAAACATCATGCATATTATATTATATTTCTTCATTATCATATTCATATTATTTTACATCTTTTACAACCATTTTTCGTGTTCTGTTTTAATTTTGTTTTCAATTCTATTGCGATAACCTTGTAAATATAATGAGGGAGCTTTCAGTTTGCAACGTCAACATTTGGCACAGTCATGACTTTGTCAGGGAATTCCTCGGGCTGACCCATTAAATCGCAACGTGGCTCAGATGGCACGCTTGCCCAAATAACTGCAAAATATGCAGTTTTTTAAATGTTTCCTATCTTTATGCAAGCTACAAACAACAACAACAACAACAAAAATTAAAGAGCTCTGACAGTTTAGAAAGAAGCAAGACAGCAACAAATCAAGTGAAAGAAAACAAACTTTAGCGTAAGCTAAATTCGTGGGAGAAACTGAAGTCAATAAAAAAAATTAAAAAACATAAAACCAAAAAAATAAAAAAAAAACATAAAAATATAAGTATATTGCCGGCCTCAAGTAACAAAATTTCATTGTAAGTCTTTGTGTATTTTTAGCATCAACCTCAGCCAAAACTCTTAATTTCCTTACTTTCTTTTTAATTTGTAATCGACATTTGTCGACAACCAACAAATTTGTTAAGCTCCGCTTGGCTTTTATTTTTGTGGGTGATGTGACAAAACTCACGTAGGCACCCATAGAATGGGCTTTCCTCAAGGTCTATGACTTTTGGAATGAGTAAACATTTTATATATTGACAGCCGATCAATGCACTGCATTTTATAATTTGCATGCGTAGACAATTTGTTAAGAATAAAAAAGCAATTGCAAAGATCACAATCTCACTAAAGTATGAGTAGATAATATATCTAACTATATACAAAAACACTATTCGAAAAACTTTCTTGAATAACTCTGAAGTTTAGAGTTTGATCTTTTTGAAAGTGTTGGAGCTTACATAAGTCTGACTATACGAAAAACATCACAGCAATTAAATCAATTATACAAATAGCATATCTATAAATTAAACCGTTTGATATGATGGAAATTGTAGAACATGTCAAATGAAAATTAAAAGAATATAATATTTCATATTTCAAGTCTCTGGCTTACAAAGCTTTTATACAAACGGACAGTGCACAAATAAAATAAATATCGGAAAATTGAAAATGAATATCGGATTATCACAAATTGTCCCAAGCCTTTGCCGACCTTTAGTATGTCCACTTTTGTGAATGGCTCTGGCCACATTCTCTACAGGCAATCGATAATTGCGCAGGCATTTTCAATAAAAATGATCTGGTCACTTTTTAATCGATAACTAGAACAAAAACTGTTATTGATTTCGCCAAATGAATTTTACCCCCTTCAGTAGTGTTTGAATCGCTTTTGCGCGTTAAGCTTACTTTTTGCACAATCTTGAGGTTCACTTTTTTTCTCTGTCTGAAAATATTTACAGTCTACACAAAAGTGAGTCAAAGTTTCAATTATTTGGACAGCGGTTAAAAAGTGTGTTTGTTTTTGGGAACTATTTAGTAAGTTGCATTAAACTAAGTAATTACAACTTTTACAGCGCTACCCAGTTATCTGCAAAAATGTAACCCATAAATATACAATTCAATTTAATCGTTTGATTCTTTCTAGCTTATCGCTAACGCTGATAAAAGTTGCTTAGCAAAGTAACAGAAAAACAGAAAAATTAAAAGAATTTTAAAAACAAAAAAAAAAATAAATAAATAAAAAAGTTCTAGCTTATCTGTTAAATTGACTCAAACGCGTTTGTTTGATGGCAATCAGTTATCATCCGTATAGGCTATCAAAATGTTATGTGTCTACAAATTCTTCCAGCCATTCTGGCAATATCCGACATCCACGTCTAACACTGTGGATTTAACACATTTAAATATTAAGCTTATGGAGGTAATATTATTGTAGTTCGGTTAAAGCATAATGAGATTAAATAAACATAAATCTTAAAGGTAATCGGAAAAGGAAACTTCACAATAGCGTACAAAGCAACTAGCGACCGCAAACTTTTTGCCGCTAAAATCTATTATTATTTTTACGCGAATTATGAATGGGTCAAAATCAGATACCAGCAGCTACATACAATTAAGCACCCGAATATCCTGAATTCTCATGGTTCCGAAAAGTTACCAGGCAAAGTAATTGCCGTATTTATGGAATACGCTGACGGCGGATCGCTGCATAACTATATACACGGATCTGGCAAATATACTAGAAATAATGCATATGATTTGATGGTCCAGTTGGCAAAGGTTTGTTCCATTCCCAACAATATACCAGTCATGTGGCACTCTCATATAATTCTCATTTTGCAGGGTCTTGCATTTCTTCACGACCTTAAGCCAAGTCCGATATGCCATGGTAACCTAAAGCCCGAGAATTTGTTTTTAACTGAAAATTATAGCTGCTTAAAGATCGGTGATTTGGCCAGTGGAGTGGAATTTATATCAAACTGTTATACACCACCAGAGGCACGCCTAACCAAGACGCGAAATTTCTGTACAATATCAGTCGATCTAATACACGCCTATATTTTGGAGTCGAGCAAAAGGTGTTACACCGAAAAGTACGACGTCTATAGTTTTGGTATAATTCTCTGGGAAGTATTAACACGCAGGAGGCCTGTTTTTGAAAACATATGTGAACTTTTGACCTGTGTTCCAAAAGATGTCGGCTCTAGCAATGTTAAGTCCCTGATTGCCAGATGTTCGCAGGATGACCCACATAGGCGGCCAATGATGAAATATATGGTAATGGATCTTCTTCAAATCAGGTATCTTTAGCAGTATTATATGCATATATTATATATATATATATTTATGGTGGATTTGTGTTGTTCAATTCGTTTCCACAGAAATGACGTCGTAACATATACGCAGGAAAGTAAAGCAACAGAAGAGAAACCGATTTTCAAGGCTCTCAAGGAATTCCCCGACTTGAAACTGGGAGAGGTAAGGTTTTTCCAAATCAAGAACTTTATTAAATTTCTGAATTCCAGATCATGGGACAGGGCTCTTTTGGCGCTGTCTACAAGGCAACATTTCGTGGCGCTCAAGTGGCCGTCAAGCGATATTATTTGAATAACACCCAAGGCAACCAGGGCATTGAGAGGGAAGTGCGTTATCTATCCCGCGTCAATCATGAGAATATTATAAAATTGTATGGCACCATGGTTGATGAGGAGGGCAAAACTTTAGTGGTGATGGAATACGCAGACTGTGGCTCATTACACAGTTATCTGTATGACAATGGTGAACAGAAGCCAAATTATAAATACACGCTTGCACTCGAATGGATGCATCAATTGGCCAAGGTAAAACCAGAGAAAAGTTATCTGGCAGGACGTGTAAGCTACTCTACTTGGTCCCATTTTAAGAATATCTGTTTATAAGACAAATACAATTAGATTCGTTTTTTTTTTTGCAGGGCATTGCCTATTTACATGCCATGAAACCAAGGTCTGTGATTTATCGTGATCTTAAGCCACACAATTTGTTATTGACGAACGGATATCGCACATTAAAAATAGCCGACTTTGGTACAGTCACCGAATTGGCTACTGTCATGAGCAACAATGTCGGAACTGCCAGCTATATGTCGCCAGAGGTTTGCCTAACTCGTAATGTCAAGGAATATATTGAACAAGGATTATCGTTTAGGTTGTCCAGTCCAACAATTACACGGAAAAAAGTGATGTTTTCAGCTTTGGCATTGTGCTGTGGGAGGTGTTGGCGCGAAAAAGGCCCTTCTGTCATCTGGAAAATCGCGAACCATTCGCCATTATGTATCAAATTGGCATGGGTAGGCATAAGGGTTAATATATATATATGTTATACATGTATTTCAATAAGTTTCTCGCTTAAGGCAAACGTCCTATTCTGGAAGATGTCAAGAATTATCCAAACGTAAAGCTTTTAAGATATGTTATCAGAAGTTGCTGGCACATGGAACCGAAAGAACGACCAACAATGGAACATTTAGCTTTATGTTTAGACGATTGTTGAAAATGGAGATAATTAGTAAGGAATTTATTTTTATCTCTTGTGACATTTGTTTTGGTTGATTTGTAATAAAAATTCAAAATTTCAATTGTTTTAACCTAGTTTTGCTAGTCTCTAGCCTTTGTGGCCTTACACGATGGACGTGTTCACATCTTTTATTGGTCAGACGGACTTGGCTTACCAATATACCCTTTATGCTAACATTCAATGGGTACAGGGTATAAAATCAACAACTCTTAACTGACTGATTAATTGACTGAGTCGGATGGCATTTGGTTGTTGAATAAGGGCCACTCTAAGTCTAACAGCTTGCTAGTTGTTGCTTTTAGCGCTTAAAGGGAGCTACTACGTTTAATGAAAGGGGGTAGGGTGCGGGCGGTATAGAGAGTAAGTGAGATAGATAGAGAGAGGCGCGTAAGCCTGACGCTTCTTGTATACGAAAAAGGTTGTTGACTCTTTACAGCAGCAGCAAAACAGAACCGAAAAATAATATAATTCGCATACACGCACACACGCACCAAGAAAAGGTGAGCAAAGGCAAAAAGGAAGACCAAAAAAAAAACACGCAAAAATTACGTGAAAGTTTGGCATTGCATACAACACACGCACACACACACGCACACACACACGCACACACACACAGCTAAGCAGCGCACGCAATCAAAAGCTGAAATTTTTGAAATTCTTATCGCGTTTTTATTTATTTATTTCTTTTATTTTATGTTTTTGAATACATTGACCGATATTAAACAAGTCGCCTTTTTACGCAAGCTGACCAGTTGTGCGTGTGTGCGCGCATATGCGTGTGTGTGTGTGTGAGTGTGTGTGCATGTTAAGGGCCTGAGTTCATTGGCAGCGTCTTTTGTTTAGGTTTTTTTTCGAGATTTTTAGACCTTTTTTCTATTTTTGGCATAATTTGGCTGGCATTATAAATGTTTATTTTTTCCCCCCTTCTTTTTTTTATATTATTAGAGTTTCAATAATTCCAACAGTTTTATACATAGCTCGAAATGAAAGCAAAAAATTTAAATATAAATAGTTGAGCGCTGACAAAAGAATTGGGTCACCAATTAGTTGTATATATATTTAGTATTTTTTATTTGTTTTTGTCTATCGAAATGTTGTGCAATTTATTTGATGTTTTTGTCAATTGTTTTTTTTTTTTTTTTCATTCTACATTTTTGCTCTCAGCTGCCTTTAATTAATTTTGTTTGCGCTGCGGAACTTCCTAAACAAATTGACAAATGCGGAACATATTGCTAAATATATATATATATATATATATATATATATATTATTATATATATATTATTATATTATGCGATACTTTTTTTTTCCTGTTTTGCCGTGCGCCTTTGTCTTTCGTTTCAAAGCTATGACCATGCTCAATTGCGTTTTTTTTTTGTTTTGGTTTTTTTTTTTTGGTCTTTCTTTTTGGCTTGTGTTACTGACCCAATTCTTTTGTTGTTCGCTTTGGTCACTTTGGTCATTTCTTTTTGATATGTTATTTATGACCGACTTAATTTGTAGCCTCGTCTATGCAAATTTGTTTCTTGGCGTCATTTTGGTTTTTTGCTTTTTGGTTCTTTCCATATACCCTGAGCTCGGGCTGCAAAAATGGGTTACTTGAGGATGTTTAAGCGTTTGTTGTGTACGAAATCAATATGCTTAATTAGCTTTCATTTGCCCCATGCTCTGGCCAAGGCCGTCGATTCTATGAACGATCTATAAGAACTCGGCTTCCATAAAAGTTCAAGGCACCAAATTTGGTATGTAGTTACTTTAATAAGTTATTGAATTGCCTGCCTTAGAACTTTGCTGATTAGTAAAGCTTTTTTTATGATATTGAAAATAACAAAAAACTGGAACAAAAAAATAGGCTCTACTTGAAATTTTCACACATTTTATGCTATTTATAGGGACGTAATATCACTTATATCATTCAGCTGCCCCTTACAGGGTATCCCAACTGTTACAATAGCCTCCTTTTCCGTTTACAGGGTATCTTGGCCATGAGAAATGTGCAAGGTTTTTGAAGTCAGCGTCAAACTGCTTGTTGCAGGCGGGGCAACAGTTAGGCCAAGCGCGTTAACTTGGCCACGAGTCGTATACGTAATTTATGCATGCACATAACCAGCTCACAAACATATATACATATACATATTTATATCAATTCCAGTTCTTGGCTGTTCTGTGTGGGTGTTTCTCTGTTGTTGTTGTTGTTATTGTTGTTGGTTTTCTCTATCTCTAAATTGAATTTGAAAGGTGACTTAGAAAGCAGCAGGCAATAGAACTGAGAAAAGTCAACCAACTACTTTCAGAGTTGACCAACTTTGGCTAACATTGCAAAAGATTACACTAGATTACATTATATAAGCGCTACGTAATTGAATCGAGCCGTCTAGGGAAGGAGTGTTACAGGGAGGGGCGAGGTGGGCAATGCTTGCGACTTGGCGGCAAACACTTGTTGACATTAGCCGAGAGGAAGTTCATAAATATGAAGCGCTTTCTTCTCTTATTTTTTTTTATGTATATATATCTTTTTTTTTTGCCCAGTTTCACGAACTTTCACGTCACATTGTGTGGTAATTAGTTAGCTGGGAATTATGCTTCCTAGTTTTTTTTTGCGCCTCGCTCTCTGTTTTTTTTCCTAGCTTTTTTTTTGCAATTGATTGGCAGCGGCCAAGTGGGCCATCAGTTTGGCGTCTGCGACTTGTATGTGTATAATTTAGCATATTAATTGACACAGTTGCCAGCTTTTTTTTTTCCTCTCCTTGCCTCTTTTTGTTGTTGTTGCTGTTCTACGCACTTTCTCCACATGAGATCTTTATGAACTATGCAAAAAATGTCACGAGAAAGCCACAAAATGCATTTAATACTTAAATATACTTCAACAGTCAAGCATTTTATTGCACCGCCACATTTGAAAGTGTCATTGCAACTGGGTCAGCTATAAAGCCATGTATGCTATAGAGCTAGCCGAAACTGGAGAGTCGAGAGGGGCGCACAACCACAACGTTGTAGAGTCGTCAACACACATTACATCACAGAGCCGAACAGTTAAATATCCATTATGCAGATAAAACTAAAAATAAATAAGAGTCAAGTAAGAGTGCTTAAGTGGGCGGGCAGCTCGACTATGAGATACCCTACACGGGGCCAGTTATCAAGGAATTGAAACAAACTTCATCTGACCGGGTAATAGGGGCAAACAGATGCCTTCGACTAACAGATACCCTGCATCCAGCAACAAATTTGTTCTGAGCGGGCAACAAATGCGCCTACCTTCGACTAACAGATACCCTGCGGACGGGTAATTTATCGATGATTTGAAACAAACTTGATCTGAGCGGGCACTTATGTTCAAAATTATAATTCTGAGGGACTCATAGTTCTCGAGATAGACGCTCTGATACATAAAGACCGATATGGCTATATGCTCGTCGTCCTCGATGCCGCAGCTCGTCGTTCCCTTCAAGAATATATATATTAATGCAATCCATAAATTCCTATATTCCTACATACACTCGAACAAATTCATTATACCCTTCATAGCTAATTTCAGTGTAAAAAAAAAATTTTAAAAATCAAAACTGGGGTGCAAATTAGTTGCGCAAATATTGAAAGTGCATTTGAGTGCATTTCAGCTGAGCGGAAGTAAACAGCCGGCAAAAGGCAAGAAAACAAAGTAAATTATGAAAAAATAACACAAATTTAGCGCATCCAAAGAGACTTGAGATACAAATACATAGAATCAGAAGTCACTTGTGTGAACAAAAAGAATTAGTCCTAAATGGGTTTTCTAAAGCATATCCATAAAGGCAACCTGTTCAGAAGAACAAACCAGAAGTGGTTCAGTTCAGCTGAACCAGTTCTATGACCATCTAAAGCTCACATTCCAACAAAAACAAGTAGCATATTCAACCACTTTTTGCATATTTAAAATGTTTGTTAAAAGCTCAGCCTTTTGTAGGAACTAGAAAGCGTAGATGATTTGAAATATTTCTCCCAAAAGAGTGGAATATAGGTGGAATGAATTTTGAAATTAATTTTCAATATATAACTATATATTTGCTATATATTCCTGCCATATTCCTATATACATGTTTATATTCCAGACATAGGATTAAATCAGTCTGCGAAAGGTGCTCACCTTCGTTAAAGATTCGAAAGAATTTAAAATTTGTTTCAGATCAGGCCTTAAAGCGCTTTTAGAAAGATTTAAGAACACTTTTTAAATGGTCTCAATAAACATTTTGGATAAAAAGAGCCAAAAGAAGCATTCGACACATGATGGAAAAATTTGGTATTAAGGTAAGTGCAAAGCTAAAGATATGTAACATCTAAATATAAGTCCAGACAAACATAAGCCCAGCTGCTATGCCTAGAGAGGATTTATATGATCTTAAAGATCACAAGCTATATGCCTTAAAGGCTGTCGGGGAAGGCGTCAGAAGGAACCGCTAATTGCATTAGATGTAGTTGTAACAAATTGACAGACACTTGACATATAATTGAATGCTGTGCACAGCTCTGGTCCTAGTTTATCAGTAGCTAGGGGGCAGAAGTAGTCGCAATTAAAATGAAATTCATTGGCATTTTCACCTGGTGTCAGGTGACAGTCGCTCAGTTTGTTGGGTTGATAACAGAGCGTGTGCTGCAACAACAACGAGACGTGTTAATCAGTCTGTATAAACAGATGCGACCCACACCGAGGCAACAACAAGGCAACAATAATAACAAGCTGGGAAATGCTGACGAAAAGAAAACTCAGTGAAACTTGGAGGAAAAAGTCGGCGACGCGTCAGCGCCACAAAAATGTCTTTGACTGCGGAAAAATAAGGCAGCAAAGTGTCATAAACAATGCAACAGGCGAAAGGTGGGGAAAAGCCCACATACAGACAGAGCGAAAGAGAGAGGGGACGAGCGAGTGAGAGAGCGAGACAGACAGAGAGTAGGAAGACAGCCAAAGATTTATTTCTGGCTAAAATGCAACTTTGTATGCGCTTCAAATTAGTCAGAGATTTGTCT